TGAGACGAGAATATTGACGAGCGTTTTCTGTTGAACGTTTCAATAGATATTTTAAATTATTGAAATTTGAGACTTAAAATTTAATACCGTTTTAATAGAAAAATTATATAACATTCAACTAAAATCCAAATGAAAAGGAATTTTAACGTGTAAAGTAAAGTAATTATTACGACATTCAAATCGAAATAATGGTTTACAGTTTATCAAATGTATTACAGTGATGTTTAAATAACTTCCTATACAGCGTTACCAATACACACATAGTAAAGAGAAGCTGTATTATTTTGGAATCGAAAGTAAAACTGACCAAATGGTAACTATAAGTGCGACTTTGTATGTATTTTATCTTATTTTCATGTGCAAATGCATAAAGCCATTTTATTTTATTTAAATCTGTATGAAATACTCTGAATGCATATTTTCAGTAAAAAAATAGACGAGTACATTTCAATTACAGATAATTCTAGATAAATAAACTGATGAAATATTTTTTGCAATTGAGGTGATATAACATGAACAACATGAAAATAACGAATGGAACGGTAGCCTATCAATATAACCGAAACAAAAAAAGATATATACAATTAATAAACAGCATAGAAAAAGACAACAATTGATTGAATATGCCTTGACCAAGAACGAATGACCTGAACAGAGATTATGAACGATCTACAACAAACAGTCAATTCTTTAAAACAGGTTGAGAATTCAAATAGCACATAATAAATTTCGTGCATCCGATGCGATTTTCTTGATTAACCCTCATCAGGTACGCTCACACCAAACAATTTGAAAACCAGAAATGATAAATACTTATTACGTCAGGATGATCAACTTTGCCTTAGGAAATTGAAACCATTTAGTTAGTTTCTAAACAATTTCTAAATTCATCAACAAAGGATTTAATCAATTATGTTAAAATCATGTAAAAGAGAGTCGAAAGATACCAAAGGGAATTCAAACTCATTAGTCTAAAACTTGACAAAAGACGAAAAACGGTTAAAAGACTCGGTATACAAAACAGTTACACAACAACTGAGCAACACAAAAAACCGGGGGTGATCGGTTGAAGTACCGAAATACCGAAAGATATTAAACTACTTGTATGTTAAGGGCCAAATATAAACTTGGAAATTGAGAAGGCAGTATTGGAACGACAGAAAATTTAAGCTACGAAACTGCGATTGAAAGAGCAAAACAATTAAGAAACAAGACAACCACAGACTGAATTTCACACTTACGGCACGGCTAATCAAGAGACAACAGCAGGTTACCGATTTTCAAATATTGTAAATCCTAATAGAAAATACATTTTTACTAAAAGAGTCGCAAAGAGTCCAAACAGAGGAAGACAAAATAGTTTTATCACGTATACCTCTCAAATGGAATACAAAACGTTTTGGGGAAAAGATGATAGTTACATGTCCAGCAAACAGGAACTAAGCAAAATGATAGATCCAAATAAGACATATATAGAAGCAACAAGTCTATATCTGGAAAGAGATATAACGTTTTTATCAAGGAAAGAAAGAGAGACAAGTTAATAGGATAAACCAATAAACAAAAAGACTGGAAAATTCAATCTTATTTTTATAGCTAACATCGTTAAATTATTTAGAACTTATAATTCAATAGCTTGAATATAATCAAATGTAAAATTATACTGTATTTACTACGAAAAGCATTTTTTTCAGATACAAAAACACTCGTAAATAGAATTAAGAAAAGTTCAGTTCGAAACTTTAAGGATCTAGCACATAACTTGTCGATTGCAAAGGGGCTTTTGCATTCAAGGCAGATAGTCTAGTTCAGAATCTTCCATCCAAAACAATATTCTGAAAAAAACAGACCAACCTAGGATCTCTTTAATGCAGTGAAGAAGTCAGACACAAGTAACTTCTGTGGCACTAAACACAGACAAGAGGTTTTATACATCCGGTAAAAGTCAACGTTTAACCTTTGTTAATGCGCTTATCTATGAAAATATTAATAATCCCAAATCACATCTGACATACAATTGAATTTTTCACTTTAATTTTGTTAAAATAAATTCGAATGATCAAAAATTTGGAAAATATCCTATTTTTTGTGTGTTTTTTTTCAGCATTGTACTGCCGTTTAAATGGATTTTTGTGCAATTTTAACTGTCTCCTTTTCTTAGCGAGGGGCATCGGTGGTCGATTGGTCTAACTACTAATGCATCACTAGCCTGTCAACACAGAGGTTGTGAGTTCGAATTCTGCACGTGCCAGGTGCATTCGACTCCAATCTTAATTGACTAGGATATTCAATTTTCCTGTCGAAGGTCGGTGGTTCTCTCCGGGCATTTCGGCTTCTTCCATCAATAAAAACTGACCGCCACGAAATAGCCAATAGTGCTGTAAGTGGCGTTAATCACCAATCAATCAATCTTCTTCGCGACTTGTTCCTTTATTCATATGAGGGAGACATACAATAACTTTTCAGGGGAAATGAACATAATCTAGTATTATCCTTTAATTTCAAGTTCCACTATTTAGATGATGTCTTCTCACTTAATTATTCAAAGTGCGGTTACTACAAGTATGTTGAATGCATATATCCCATCGAACTTGAAATATAAAAAGCACAGATACAGTTAAGTTTTACTCATATCTTGACAAACATCGGGAAATTGACAATGAGGATTTTTTTAGAAAATTGAGCTCTACGACAAAATAGATGATATAAGCTACGAATTGTGAACTCTCCATTTCTATGTAGTAACATTCCAGCAGCCAATGCTTATGGAATATAAATATCCGAGTTGATACGATATCACTGACCTTACGTTTCCTGTAATAAGTTTCTTGAAAGAGGGTTGCTGCTTACAAGAAATTATTAAACCAAGGGTCCAAAGTGGTAAAGTTGAAGCCATCCCCTCGAAATTTTAACAGATGCCATTCCAAATTGGTTTAAAGTTTAAACATATTCTATTTGCAAAATATTACAAAAAGGATTAAACACAAGTAAGTCCAACTTAAATCGTCTTCTTATTAATTACAATACTAATCTAATCAATAGAATTTCATAGCATGCAAATATCAAATTTATTATTACATAATTCTAATCAGAGAGCATATTAACGAATATTATAGAAACGGGAAAAATTTGGACGAAAACGATGAGAAAAAATATGCATGTGTGTGTGTGCGTGTGTGGGGATCACTACATTCAGATTATTAGTATACACATGATTTAACAAGGAACCTCATATAGTCTGTTTTCCCGAGTTGGTTATGGATTAAAGAATATCTTTTTCACAGATGACTACGGATATGTTTCAATTTTCATAACCATAATTCCGTTCTTTGTTCCTCGAATGTCACTTCACCGAATTAGACTTGTCACCTTTATACTTACATGAGCAACACGACGGATTCCACATGTGGACCAGGATGCTAACCCTTTGTGCACACCGAAAATCAAACCTGCTAGGATTTAGTGCTCTTTGCTGTTGTTTGTAGACTGTTGTTTGTTTTTACGTCATTTTGTTTTGTTTTTGCCATGGTGTTGTCAGTTTGTCTTCGACATCGGAGTTTAAATGTTTCTTTGGTATCTTCCACCTCTCTTTTAAAGTTGAATATTTACATTTACTAGATATATAACAGTTAATTATCTTTCTTAAAAGAAAAAGAAGTATGTACCATTTACAAATACTTGCAACCCAAACAGAAATTCGCATTGAGACAACTTCATTATTTTGGTCTTATAAACAATTCTATATATCAAATGAATGTATCCCTTTACTTTAAGATAGGATTTATTCATGCAGTTTTTTATTCGTTGTCATTATACTTTTGCCAATGTGAGTCAAAGCTAATCAGTTTTTTCCTGTAACATTGTCTAAAATTGATACAGAAGTTATCAAAAAGAAAGGTGTATATTTTGAAAACAGAAAGACAATTCAACATCTTATATATATTATAATAATACAATGGGTATTAGACGAAGATATAAGCTATAAATATCTATGAAATATGTATTCGGATAGGACACCGTGTTTTTCTAAACACTATTCCTAAACGAGTAGAAATAACTGTATACAAGGACGCTTTTATAAATCATGCTGATCAAAGTAGTGCCACTTGTTTAATTCCCTTAAAAATGGTACTTATGAACTTAATCAATAAGTTTATTAAGGTAGAAGTTTGAAAGACAAATTTTGATAATGTTGCTTAATGTTTTTATTGCCATTTCATTTTCATTGTTACGATGATATATGAGTATTCATATTCTGAAACAAGGCAATGAAAGGATAATGATCTTTTCGCCGTTTTATTTGATATATTTCGATGGTATATTATGGATAAGTAGGATTATCTAGAAAGGATATCTGTTTTTTTATTGGAGCTAATACGTGGTTATCTGCACGCATTGGTAATAAGTTACTTGTTATTTTAAACATCCATGATGTGTGGTATGTTATGATGCAACATACATAGTTATTTCATGTTTTGTATTCTACGCTAATACTGATGCCACATGAAGGAAAATGTTCCTTAATTTTTTTGTTTCATATTACTCTTTCAACAAGTACAACTTCAGGTCAAACATTTAAAAAAAACATAATTTTACTTCATTGGTATTAACGCAGACAATCGTTTTAAAATGATCGATCTGGTATTGTATGAGGCGGAAAGGAGCATTCAAAACTCAAGTGAAAAAGAAACTAACAACGCCATGCCAAAAAATAAATACAAAGAAAAGCCAAATAGTTCACGAAACACAATATATCAATAATGATGATCACTATAATTCTAACACTAGATTCAATAATATAGCTGATCGTAAGACATGCAAACTATTTAAAAGCATTTGTATCATTTCCATATTGGTAAGCTCATTCCTGGAATATTATATATCACGTTCGATTTATAAAAAAATTAGTCACAAGAAATTCTTGTTTCGTCCTCAAATTATTGATCAAATCCGAATGCAATTTGCTAAGTTTTTACATGTCAAGTTATCCTATAGGCTCATTTCAGTCTCTAGTTTGAAAATAAACATCCATGTTGTTTTTCATATTAGGATGTCAGCATTTATGATTTCCAGATTCTAGAATGACTGATACATATTCAAATGAAATAACAGAAAATGAAGCAGATGAAGGTTTAAATGATTTCTTCTACTTTCTGGAAGGACACGGAGTTGTTGATCTAACGAATGGAATAAGGGTAAGAACAAAACCAGAACTTTCAGAAGACTTAAAATGTTTTAAAGCTGAAAGATGGAAAGCTGAAGAAAGGAATATGTATCTAAATGAGTTAAGTCTCCCTTCTGGTTTCAAGCTGGTAACCGATATCTATAAAATATCAATCAAATCAGAGAAAAATGGTTTAGAAGAGGCAAGTGATCCCTCGGAAAGGAAACGTTTAGGAAAACGGCAATGTTTGTTTTCACTTCGGGATAGTTATAAAGAAGATAGTCATTTCCAAGTTCCAGTGGACGACACATATGTAAAAGATAGTGATATAAACCATTACTGGGCATTAATTGAGGATGGTGAAAATCAGTGGAAAAAAATTCCCGCGAGGATAACGGTAAATTATTTATTGAAGATATTTAAGTCCTTTTAAGCTTTCAAATATATTTGCAATTAATGTCATTAATTTGTAGAATTTTTGAAATGATTGAAAATGATTGCAATGTTATACGTTCATGTTTAATTACAACCTTAATTTAACTAATTAAGCCGTCTGTTCCAGGCAAGCTATATTCTCCTTGTATGACGCCAGGACGTCATGATTTCAAACACTGTGCCTTTTGCATGCGATTTCAGTTGTATGTTCAAATGTGAATAATACAACATTAAAAAAACAACAATAGCAGTCGAATGTAAATAACCATTTCAACTACTTAATTGAGAAAAATATTCGCGAAAATGCTCTGTTTAACCATGTCAGAATAATAAATGTTATAGCAATCAATACATTTAATCTGATGAATGAGTAGCAATTAAATATATTGTATCCATTCCCTCGATGTTGTTTTTTGTTGCTCCTTGTATTATGTGATTGAGAGGCGAACGATACCAAAGGGACATTCAAACTCATAAGTCGAAAGGAAGCCTGATAACGCCATGGCAAGCAAAACCCGAAAAAAAACAAATACAAGCAACAGTATTCAAAACACAACATAGAAAACTAAATACTGAGCATGCCGAACCCCATCATAAACCGGGGGTGATGTCAGGTGCTCCAGACGGGTAGGCAGCTCCTGCTCTACATGTGGCACCCGTCGTGTTGCTCATGGAAATACAAATCCGGTGATAAGCCTAATTTGGTAATTGTGAACTTTCCAGATTAAGGATGTTTTTTGATAACTTTTTTATTTATTTATTTCTCCTTTTCGATTATGCATAATGTATGGTTAAAAAGGTGAAAGATTTCGAGAGTAACATAAAGATTAAAATAGTTTCGTTGACTTATACTTTGTATATATTGTGAGTAACAAATAATAAAAGGATTACTGGAATTTTACTAATAAAAAGCCACACAGTAACAAAAAGCTTATGAAAAGTTATGACATATGTTATTGCCAGGAGACACATTATACGTGGTAATTTCCCTAAAACATTATATGAATGATAGATGGTGTTATATCATATTTTCAGTTTGATTTCATTGAATTCCCGTGTTGTCGACTTAACAATTTTCTGATTGTGTATAGTCCAAACAAGATCAAACATGTCGTTCATCCAAATGGATCAACAATAAACACTGGCAAAGACGATGGTATGACTGTCCAATTTGAAAAGGATTGTGTCAATAAAGAACTTACATTGGAATATACGGTAGGTATAAATGTATGAAGAAATCAGTTTTGCGACAACATGATTTTGCTAAGCCGCTATAATAAAAGAAAATTGCAGGTGCAAAAGTCTTTTGAGAACAAGTAAAAAGTAAAATAACAACAAGAGTGCACACGCTGGAATGTCTCGCCTTCTTTACTAACCATTGATTTTATGTTGATAGTCCTAAATATAAAGCTTTACTACAAGTAACACATAAACTTAACATGATCCAAGAAAATGAGGTCAATTTCAGTTAAACCAAACGAGAAATACATGTACACCTCAATAAACCAAACATAGTTAACCTATTGCTTATAGTTTCTAAGAAACAGTCTTATCCAAGAAAACTTAACATTGACCATTAAACCATGAAAATGAGGTCAAGGTCAGATGAACAATGCCAGACAGACATGTACACCTTACAATCAATTTATGCATTAAATATAGTTGACCTATTGCTTATAGTATTTAAGAAACAAACTTAACCATGAAAACTTAACATTGACCAATGTACCATGAAATTGAGGTCAAGGTCAGATGATACCTGCCAGACAGACATATACACCTTACAATCCTTTCTTACAACAAATATAGTTGATATATTGCTTATAGTTGAAGAAAACAGACCAAAACACAAAAACTTAACACTGAGAAATGAACCGTGAAAATGAGGTCAAGGTCAAATAAAACCTGCGAGACTGACATGTACATCATAAAATATTTCGATACACCAAATATAGTTGACTTATTGCATAAAGTATTAGAAAAAAAGACAAAAACTCAAAAACTTAACTTTGACCACTGAACCATGAAAATGAAGTCAAGGTCAGATGACACCTACCAGTTGGATGTGTACACCTTACAATCATTCCATATACCAAATATAGTAGACCTGCTGCTTATAGTATCTGATATATGGACTTGACCACGAAAACTTAACCTTGTTCACTGATCCATGAAATGAGATCGAGGTCAAATGAAAATTGTCTGACGGGCATGAGGACCTTGCAAGGTACGCACATACTAAATATAGTTATCCTATTACTCATAATAAGAAAGAAATTAATATTACAAAAAATGTTGACTTTTCTTCAAGTAGTCACTGAACCATGAAAATGAGGTCAAGGACAATGGACATATGACAGACGGTAACTTCGTAACATAAGGCATCTATATACAAAGTATGAAGCATCCAGATCTTCTAGCTTCTAAAATATAAAACTTTTAAGAAGTTGGCTAACGCCGCCGCCGCCGCCGCCGCTAGAGATTGGTTTTATTGTTTACTTTAATCGCTTTGATAACACTGCAAACTTCATTCTCCGAATGACACATGATGTTTCCACACGCAAAGCATATCAACATATAAAAGTATTCCAAAATAGTAATGATGTTACCCCATTCCCCAAAATGTGATGTAGTGCATATTTGCTCTTTCATTTCTTAAAAGCATTATCTTACTGTATACGTACTACCTTAATGAATATTGTTGTGATCTTGACGTTCGACTTATTGACCTTTAACCTGTCCTCCTTTCCTGAAGAAGCATGTTGGTAAAGATCTAATTTCTGACTCGAAAGATATTGATTTAAAACCAAGGAACATTATCCAACTTATTTATGCTATGATATAATGTATGAATGAAATGATATTATACAAAATATTCAGTCAAATGTCAGTCGATTATTTTTTGCTTTGAAATTGACTTTTGACCCACTGACTGCATAATCAATACTGTGAAAGTACGTTTACTTGTATGTATCAATGTTCGTGGCTTGATCAAATGTAACATGCTCGAGGGTTCTTAAATTCGTGGATTTTAGTTTTCTAAAGAAAAAAAATCAAGTGAAACATTTTGAGCCATCAGAAACAAAGATTAATCGTATGTTGTTTTATAATTATCTGTGGGACATTGAAAAATAATGTGTTCATTTTCTCTAATTTGTTCGTCTTTAATTACTGACAGCATTCATCAGTTTTTTAATAAAACGAATTGCTTCCGAAAATAAGCTGATTCATCTATGCTTACAAATTGTCTCAATTAAAGAAAATTGCAAAATAAATATTTTGATTGTTTCACACGTGTAATCAGAAGTGAGGACTTTAATTAACCTGAGATCGAATTATCAACAGATTAACGATCGTCAAAGTTGTTAATTAAGCAATTAACATGTCACTTAAAGAAAACAATTTCACAAAAAAATGCTTCAAATGTACTTTGAATTGTAGAATTAATTCTTATGAAATAAGAAAAGCAAGCCAAATAAGAAATCATTAAAAAAAAAACAATTCGTATGAGAATTATGAGGAGATAAATTAAACACTTCCACATTGTATATCATAACCGAATTTTTGACTTACATCGATCAAAACTATTTTTTTAAGAAAATTAAAAGGTTAAAAGTCGTACAGTTTAGGCTTTTTAACGATTGAATGGATAAAATCCTGTCTGAAGTTAAATATATAGTTCGTTTGTTGATATTCGATGTTTTCTCTAGATTGTATGCCCGTATCCATGTAGTAAAACCTACATGGGGATCTTTCCATGTCTTGATTTGGACAACAGTTGTTATATTTCGTTGGATAGTTAAATTCGTGGATAAAGCCATCCACGAAAACCACTAAAATTGGTACCCCACGAATGAGAGTACTTTAAAAGTGTTGTTTTTTGTTTTCATATCAAGACGTATAATCCATCCAGGATTGGTAACAAGCTGATTCATAACTCAGAAAACTCGTCTCGAAACAGATCTTTTACCACATGCATAATGTATAATATATACATATAGATATATATGCACTATGGCATTGACCTTGATATATAACCTAAGGGTAAAAAAAAGATATGTATCTAGTTCATTCAAATTGGAATTTTATACTAAGTGAAATGAAACTTTTGCATTTTGGTATTTGTTTCGGGCTTCCATCTATATTAATTCGTGTCCCACTGACAAGGGATTTTTGTAAACTGAAAAATTATTACACCAGGGTTTTCGATATCACAAACTAGTCAACACATTTACTAAATTTTATCATCGGTATAAGGACATCATTCGTAAATATAGCTCAACATGCAGACTTCTTATACGTTCAGGTATTTCACATCCAATTTTTATGGAAATATTCTTTATAAAGCACAAAAATGTCAGTATTTACCTCTGAAGCTAACAAAACCTTTAAATAGACTTATTAAGAAGGGATATAGTTACGATACTGTTGTCAGGTCATTAAAGATTGCATATTTTGGCGTTAATATTGATTCACTTATAGGGTCTTTGCATCGGCACTAAACACATTTATTTAAAAACAAGTTGTTGGCATGACACGGGTTATGTTCTTCTCATATATGTTATGATGGTATGATACTAAACCCCTAACGGGAAGGATTGTGCCTGATATTCATATGATGGAGACATAATCTTTCAATCAGTTTAATTGAAGTCTGGAGCTGGCATGTCAGTTAACTGCTAGTAGTCTGTTGTTATTTATGTATTATTGTCATTTTGTTTATTTTCTTTGGTTACATCTTCTGATATCAGACTCGGACTTCTTTTGAACTGAATTTTAATGTGCGTATTGTTATGCGTTTACTTTTCTACATTGGCTAGAGGTATAGGGGGAGGGTTGAGATCTCATAAACATGTTTAACCCCGCCGCATTTTTGCGCCTGTCCCAAGTCAGGAGCCTCTAGCCTTTGTTAGTCTCGTATTATTTTTAATTGTAGTTTCTTATGTACAATTTAGAGTTTAGTATGGCGTTCATTATCACTGAACTAGTATATATATTTGTTTAGTGGCCAGCTGAAGGACGCCTCCGGGTGCGGGAATTTCTCGCTGCATTGAAGACCTGTTGGTGACCTTCTGCTGTTGTCTGTTCTATGGTTGGGTTGTTGTCTCTTTGACACATTCCCCATTTCCATTCTCAATTTTATGTCTGGCATACTGTTTTTTTACCTGGCATCTTTGATGACGTTTTACGACAACCCAAACAAAAAGAGCGAAACAACAATTATATAAAGTATCTATATGCCTTTTAGGTGCAAAGGCCAAGTGGAAAATACATAAACAATGATTCGAATTCAGCAACACAAGTAAAAGCTGTAAGCCATAAAATAACATTAAATTATAAGAAGACGAAATTAAACGGGCCAATAAATGTATCTGCAAGACTTAACAATGACACAAATGATACTGGAGAACCCGAATCTCACGACGATTCCAATGTTCAAATGATACTATTCAAGCAGGGAAGACTCATTATTCAGAACCCAACACGTCTGACTACTGGAGAGTATACTGGACAAATAATAGATTCTGAAGAGTAAGTACTATTTAGTATCTAGAAATCGGTAATAGAAGTTGTTAAACAAAATTCTTATTCTTTAACAAATTAATTGGGTTTGCCCGTAGCCTTTACGTATGCGGCTATAATTGTTATTATTTATTTGACCATTTTGTCACAGAAGTTGTGCCTATTAAATGCATCACAATCAATGTTGCGACTGGCATAATCCATTCCTATCTAACCTCAAACTAATCTTCTCTAACATCCTCATGCTATAATAAAGTCTGATTCAGCATTCTGATTTATTTTCACTTTTACTTCTCTCTTTTTCATCTAACAAGTATTTGATTTCTTGATTTAAAGTATCGGGGAACAGTGGAGTCTACAGGTACAAGATCTGGTATCGGGTTCTTCTTCTGATGGTAACGATCCCTCCAAGAATTATTTGATCGTTTGTTAGTATGCGCTGTATAAGAATATCGCCTCGTCCAGTCGTAATGGGGACGTTACGTTCGATGCCTTGTGCACTCTCTGTACGTTATGGAACCCTACAGCAACTCCTTATCGGATAAAGAAAAGCTTGCAGTCGCAAAGTACTTTAGATGCTAATAAAGTAGTCTTGTCTCTTTATACTTGCACATTGAGTTAGTTTTCTCGTTTGATTTAATTGTTGAGTTCTTTTATAGCAGGCAATAAGGTATGGGTTTTTCTCATTGTTTAAGGCCTTACGGTGGCCTTTATTTGAAGTCTGGTATATAGTTGTCTCATTGGAAATCGTATGACATCCCCTTCTATTTTTATTTTGAATATTGCCATGAGTTCATCACCAAATTAACTCATTTGCCGGCCCCTTACAATATCCTAATGCCGATTGCCATTTAAACAATCGATGCAGCAGTCGTATACAGTGTTTTTTTATCTTTAGTTCAGATTGACTTTACAACATACTGGGTTTTGTTATCGCGTACAGCAGCTTTTGATCTATGTTATCTATTGCAATACCCATAGTCGGTATATGGGTGTGCTTACGTCCTTGATAAATATTGAGTTTTACTCTAAACAAAGCGTAATCAGAACGTGACACTCTATTTTGACATCTATTTAAGTTTGCATTGAAATATAAATTAAAACAAAAAACTTTAAATAATGTCTGGATTCAAAGGGAGGGCAAGGCATATATATCTTCAAATATAGTAAGTGCCAATATGCCTTAGAATCAACCAGTGGTGAAAATATGACAAACAAAAACCCACTCAAGTTGACATTAATTTATGTTCAAAATGGTAAATGTTGCACGAATATAACATGCGTTTCCTTTTCCTGTTCTGGTAATTCAAGTTATAATTTGGCTGAAATGCACTAGAAATTAACAATTAAGGGGAGCTTACTCCATAATTTGCAGTCATTCTAACCAAAAGTTATCTAGAGATTTCTCGAATTACCAGACACTTAGAAATGAAAGACCTACCATTTCTAACTCAAGATGAGGGTAACTTCAAAATAGGATGGTTAGGTCGGTGTTTTTTTTTTCGGTCATGTTTTGATTTTTTTTCAAAATTGCCCGATTCTTACAAATAGATATAAGAAGATGTGATATGGGTGCCAATGAGACAACTCTCCATTCAAGTCAAAATATATAAAAGTAAACCAATATAGGTCAAAGTACGGTCTTCAACACGGAGCCTTGGCTCACACCGAACAGCAAGCTATAAAGGGCCCCAAAAATAGATAGTGTAAAACCATTTAAACGGGAAAACCAACGGTCTAATCTATATAAAAAACGAGAAACACTTATGAACCACATCAACAAACGACAACTACTGAACATCAGATTCCTGACTTAGGACAGGTGCAAACAATTGCAGCGGGTTTAAACGTTTTAATGGTACCAAACCTTCACCCTTATCTGAAACAATAGTGTAACATCATAACATAGAAAGACATACTATAAAATATCAAAGTCTGGCACTTAATATTTCAATGCTTCATGAATGTTCATCGGGTGCAAAACATGTGGTAGCGTTAATTTGATTACTACCACTAAGTCCACAATGGTATCTCAGTCCTACGGTACTGGCATGAAAATACTGATTTTGTTTATTGATATTTGCTGTTTTTAACTTAGATAACATTTAAACTTTCCAGTCATTCTATACTATTTGTAAAACTTGTTTTGATGTAAAGGGAGACAACAATGTAACATCTAACATTAAGGAATGCATCTCCCTCGTCCATAATTCAGATTTCTTTAACGAGTTTGGCAATTTTGACCCTTTTTGATTATATCCATTAAGGTTTGGTTTTCAATATTTAAGTCTCTAGCTTCTCTGAAACGAATACATTGTCAAAATGAGCATCTGTTGTAGCACATGAGTACCGTGAAATGATATTTATCTGCAGTATTACCTTTCCTAAATTTTCAGTATAAAAATGAAGAAATTATTAAGAAAATATGGGTCCAACACTTGGCAAAGTATACCTAAAATAAATTTCTTTTTGTTCTTTTTACGTCAGTTTTGGTCACATAGCTTCTGATATATTTATCATATAAATGTTACCATGTATTTATACAGCCTTTTCTTTTAAATGTTTGGGATTGAGCGTTCCTGATGAAAGTTATTCCAAAAAGTTGCTTCCAACGCACGAACTTTATAAACTGTTATTATAAAATGTTGATTTCTTCAACCATTTTTTTAGTAATAATCTAAACTCCGTTCTTGTTACTATTTCAAGTTAATTCCTTACTAACAAAACAATTTCCTTATGGCAATGGCAACACATGCATATAGATGTGCGAAGATCAGTATTTATCTAATATAAAAGAACAGGCGTTACATAAGTTTGTTAACCAGCAGATCATATGCCTATTGTTGGCGTTACATATGTTTGTTAACCAGCAAATCATATGCCTATTGTTGAATACTGAGTAGGACTTTTAATATACTTTATTTTTTCCTCTTTTTTTTTTACTTTTTTGGTTCGTTAAAAAGACTTATTTTTATTATTAGAAGCGTACTGTTTGCAAGAATCAAACGGCAAGAAAATCTTAAAGCTGAATTATCAGATGAATTAGAACTATTTTATGGAAACACGATGCTATGCAACATTTTGCTGTTTTACGAAAAGAAACATGGGAAGACTATCCACCTGATCACAGAATGCTGCTTGAAACAACATGTGGAGTTTATATGTGCAGAGCATGAAAAAAATGGGAAAATTAGGGTTTTTACTTCAAAAGATGTATTTTTGCCCTCTCATCAGAGGATTCGAATTCGTCCAGATGGATGTTTAAGACTAAGAACGACCAGAAAGGGTCATCAACACTCCTTTTTGTATTTCATGTACGTTGCACAAGAAAATTTTACATCTTTTTCAGTAGATTTCTGGGGGACATTGGGAAATGCGTTGAATGCTGTAGTAGAATTTTCTACAGATATTCAAAAGCGAGGTGACATCGCGAAGGCAGATTTCAACATAAATAATATTCTGGTTCCAAAATACTTTGATAGAGTAACCACCATGATGTAGCATATTTAGTTATGTTCATACTAAAATGATATTCTAATACACTTTAAAATTGTTTCATAGGAAAATTATGCATTTTTTTTTCTCTTAGTTTATAATTCGTTCTTAGTGGTTGAGATTGTTTGTTTGTATGCTGAATCATGATTTCTCCATCAGTTCTTTTTAAATACTGAATCAGTTTGTCAGTTACCCTTTTGTAACTGTTACGAATTTGTCGGCCAAATGAGTAAAAACAAAATAGCAAAAATACTGAACTCCAAGGAAAATTGAAAGTCCCTTATCAAATGGCAAAATCAAAAGTTCAAACACATCAAACGATTGAAAAAAAACTGCCATATTCCTGACTTGGTACAGACATTTTTTTATGTATAAAATGGTGGATTAAACCTGGTTTTATAGCTTGAGGTTCCCTTGCTTCATTAAGAGGACTCCTACAAATGAAAGCCATAGGAAAAGGGGAAGAAGCCTTGTAATTTTGTGGTCTATAGGTCAGAGTTAAAGGTCATTGTTACATTTAGGAAGAGTGAGTCTTTATGGTAACTCGAGTTTCCCTTGCTTGATTGGAGTGAAACTTATACATATAGAAGATATAGTGAAGGGGTGAACATCTATAGATTTTGGAGTCAATGGGCCAAACTTTTGGTATCGGCTTCAAATTTGGTTTCTTGATATCGGACTTTTTATACCCCTGGAGCATAAACTGTAGTTCTTTGCTTTTTCTCACATTTCAGTTATTGAATTGTCACACCAAGCATATCATTCATTTAACCCTCAAAATATGAGAAAAAAACATTGCATGATCCAATCGCTTAAGTGTTTTTATTTCATCTAGTGTTGAAATGTGTCATTTTTATAACACAACTAATACGACTATTCGAAGAATTCAAGTATATAAGAATATTTAAAGAATGACCGAACAACACATTAATACAATAATGCACGTAGCACATGAGTTAATCATCAGTGTAGTTCGGTCACATATTGCATTTATTTAGGTATTTGAATTCTTGGATTAGTTATTATTTTTATCACATTGACTATGGTTTTATTATGAAAATAAATAAAGTATAAAATACAATTAACTATAACATCTTTTTCTACGCATTCTCAATTCGTTTTGATGCAACATCATCGACAATGTCGTGACAACACCCATTGATGTATGACATCAGAGGAGTGAAACTATCGGTTTTTATTTAACTTGAAAAGCATTGCATCTCATTACAACTAATATAATGAACTCTTTGATTACGGCATGGGCAAATTAATAGTTTATAAGTCACAGATTACAGATAGCGTACACAATGCGTAATAAAAAAGTGATTGTATTACAGATTTTATTTTATACATACCTACATTTATGTTTTCCTTTTCTTGAAAAAAGTAAAATATCAAAAGTACCGAAATCCAAGGAAAATTCAAAACGGAAAGTCCTTTATCAAATGGCAAAATCAAAAGCTAAGACAAATCAAATGAATGGAAAACAACTGTCATATTCCTGACTTGGTACTGAAAGCAGATTTTCCATGCATTAGTTAAGTGAGTGCTGTAAAATGATTAGATTGCAAGATTTTGCATCATTTATCTTAGAGCTTCTCGGGGTCCGCCATACAAGCATCTGTATACGGAGTGGGAAGTACCGCTTTGCTTCACTGTTCCAGTCTCTTTAACTTGAATACATCAATTGTTTGCTAGCTACGCCACTGGTGTCAGATAAAAACAAATAATGAGAAAATGATGCCGTCACAGAATAATTATTATTCATCATATTCATCCTAACCCTGTTGATCATCTTGCAAGATTTATCTGCTTAGAATATTTCGTCTTTAATGATTTTGATATGGATATGATGGATTGAAAGGGGAATTCCAAAGGCTTTTTTTATTTTGATACATAGTTTTCGAGAAAACAGCACTGAAAATGCACTTTCAGATGAACTTAAAGTTAAGAAACAACTTTTTGAAATATTTTTTTTTCTTTATTATAAAAGACGATTACCCTGTTGACGCATCAGGTTTCGCTCCTTTTAAACCATGCGATTCCCTCAGATTTGTCTTCATTTTCTTGATAAGTCTTCTTAAATGAGATTTGGACATCGGTAAACAGCTGTTGCCTAAATTCGTGTAGTGAAAATCTAAATTAAAGGTAAATTATAAAAAATCTGTCATTTCTATATATCAAACATCTTCATAAACTATTAAGGTCAAAAGTTGTGTATTGATTTGAATATTCGGGTTTTTTGTTTGGTGCTTGGTTAATTTTGTAATTTAAAAGTTAGGTAATTTGGTCAAAAATGGATAGTAAAGAGGTTGTTGGTATTCAAATTAAAACACCTTCTCTTAGTCTTATTGTTTTTATCATGAGAATAATCAATCATATTCCTAATATATTAGTACTCTAAGTAAAAAAACCAAGCCAGCTAATGACAATATTACTTGAATAAACTACTCTAAAGATAAAACTTTTTACAGCTCATTTGTATATATTAACACAGACATTAGAATTTTGGGAACAATATTTCAGAGTGTATATACATGTATTTAGTGGCTATTCTGGATACATCCTGGTGGATGGGGTTGATGCCTTTGAAAATATTGAACATTTCCAATCTTTCCAAAATTAATTTACATTTTAATGATTCCGTCTTTTCCCTTATTTCATTTCCTCAAACGGAAGAAGTTTGAAGGCCTGAGGCAAAAATGAAAAACAAAATTTCAAAATATGACTTATTACAAGGGGTCAGAAAAGTGGCTTTGTTATACCTTCATGTTAGAACAAAGGTTTTTAAGGACTTGAATTGTTTCAATATGTATTAAGACCTTTTTTATATATTGTTTTAATCTCAGAAAAAAATATCGAGATCAGGTGCACAGACCTTGCAAGGAACCCATATACCAAATATAATTATCGTATAACTCATAATAAGTAAGAAATTCACATAACAAAAAACTGAAACAAAATTTCAAGCAGTCCCTAAACCATGAAAATGAGGCCAATAACAACACATATGACAGACGGAATCTTCATAACATAAGGCATCTGTATGCAGGTATGAAGCCTCCAGGTACACTACCTTCTGAAGTATAAATCTGAAAACAAAGTGTATGACGCCGGATTGTAATCCTTACGTCTCGCATTCTGCAGAGCTGTTGAATTCCTTTTAAGTCTGTCAGACATTGCCTACTTTTGTCAGATCTTTGAGTTTTTGCCAGACCTATACTTTTTTTATATAAAATGAGCATTTCAGTAAGTCATGATCTCGCATGCATCGTTGAAGTCATTCTTAATATTTCAATAAACTTGATAAAGGCAATTACCAAAATACTGGACTCCAAGGAAACTGTCTAGATCCGACTTGGAGAAGAATAGATGAGTTTGTATTCACAAAGTCAAGAATTACTCAACACAATGAACAATCAGAATAAATGTCACATCTCCCGACTTGACACAGGATTTTTCAAGAAAATTTCATTGTTAAAACATGGTTTTATAATGTAAATGTTTTGCATTTTCTCCCCTTTAACCCTTTTTCATACTAAAACAGGAACAGTTCCCAAATGAAAACCTAAAGACAAACATAAGAAATATATAAAGTCATTTAACCATAAAAATAAACCAGGGACTTTTAAAATTAATGGGACAGATATGATTTGCTGTTGATTTTTCACTTTGAGAGAACGATATCTTCTTTTTAATTACAAGCAGGGCAGAATTGTTAAAAGATAAAAATAAAGAAGAATATATATAACAACCATTCCATTTAATATCTGAGGAGGGTGGATGGTTACCTTGTCAAAGTCACCCCTAAGAAAATGTTCATGCAAATTTCAATCCCTCAAATTACTTTTCCCGTATTTATAGAACTGAATTTCATTGTAATATTATGTGTTGAATGTATGTATAGATATTAACAGGAATGTAGGTACGAACTGTGATTAAGGACGACTTGAGTGTACACATAGATTGATGCAATATAATGCATAGTGTTATAAATCCTTAATAACAAAATTTCGTCTTCATGTAAAACTGACCGCCAAACAATATTAATGCGCCGACTGACATTAACAAATGTAAACAACTTGTATATAGAGAGTTTAGACGATAAAATAGTTCAATTGTTCTTTAAAATTGTTATCAAAAGCACAGAAGATTAAAAAAATCAATGTAAGACTTTTCATTGAGCACTTTTTCCTATATGCAACGTCATTTATTTTGAGTTGTTCAATGATCATTTAAGTAAAGGCAACAGTAGTATACCGCTGTTCGAAACTCATAAATCGATAGAGATAAAAACAAATCCGGGTTACAAACTAAAACTGAGGGAAACGCATCAAATATAAGAGGAGAACAACGACACAACAAAAACACAACATTAAAATGTAACACATACAGATACGAACTATAATATAACAATGGCCATTTTCCTGACTTGGTACAGAACATTCTAAGAAAAAAATGGTGGGTTGAACCTGGTTTTGTGGCATGCCAAACCTCCCGCTTTAATGGCAACATCAAACACAACACCAAAACGACAACATCACATGACAGGACCACAATACAAATAAATGGGAGAACATATAGGACAAAGAAACACACGAATAATAGCTAACAAAAGGTACTAGGCTTAAAATACAATACGCCAGACGTGTGTTTCGTCCACACAAGACCAACCAGGTTATTCTAGACATATGTATTTGTATTCCAGAATTAAAAGTATGAAAAAAATGTCCAATTAGTTATATACTAGTCAACAAAAGAAACGATACAAGGCAATGTCTTTTCCATATATAATGAAATTGGATACACTGTACCAAGGTATTAATTGTCCAATTGGTCTAATATTTACAGAGTGTTATTTTCTTGTCAAAACCATTGATTTAAGGCACATACGTGAAATTTTTTTTTTTTTTGAAATGTTTGTAATTTCAAAAATAGTATTTTCACCCAAAAATTCAAAAATCGGTATTAAAACTTAAAACTTTAAGCTTAAACATGGTCTGGTTAAAATTTTGAAAGCCTTTGCAGATATTTGAATACTTAATTCTCATCTTCAAAATTAAGTGCCGACTTTTGTCATCCTTTTCCACAAAATTAAATTGACCCCTGTGTTCAATAATACGGTATTTTCTCACTTTCCAATTTGGTCAAATTCTTTTAATCATAATCATTTGGATAATTTAACAGTTTTTCCTATTTATTATATTTTATGATTGTTACTTTTGTTGACTAGTATAAATAACCTACTAGCACTCTAGATAACGGCAAATAAAGGCAAACGAAGCAATAAAAAACACTAAACAATAATGTATAATTATGTTAACTTTATATCACAATGTATACAATAAATATGTACACATATTACATTATATACATTAATCAACAACTTTAATAATTGCATAAATATAGGATACATTGCAGGTTCAAAGGTATATGATCTTTACATGAAAAATAAAAACAATACGTTAATTTCTTGTGTCCGAAGTACTTTTCTGGATTTACCTTCATCAGGAACACTCACAGCTGAATATTTGAAAGCCGAGGATGTATAAGAATGTAAATAAATGTTTTCATACATCAAATAAGGTGAAATGTTGATAATGTAAATGTGCTCAATTAGTTCTGACTTTATTGCATTTATTTAAGTTACAGCATAAAATTGTTGTTTTAACCAATTTCTTTTTAAGTAGTCTGACCAGTTCAGATTGTTAAAAAATAATTAAATATTAAGAATAAGATAAATAAATCTTTAATTAAATTACTGTAAGGCAGTTTAACTATTCCTCAGACCATCAACTTACTGAATTATCATTATCGTACAATCTAATATCCAATAAAACTGAACTTTGCCTACACTTTTTAGCATAGTTTTTTATTCAATCAGTATAAAATAATAAAACATGATGACAAATAACCTGCAGTAAAATCTGTTATATAAATAAGGTCATTCCATATTTAGCAATAACAAACAAAGCAATATGAAATATTCAATGAATTTCAACTATATTTTACTGAAAAAATAAATGAATATTCCTGGTTTAAAAATGGCTATTGATGAAAATCAGAGAATTATGGTTGGAAGCACAATGCAATACTTTATGAGCACCTTGTTCTATTGCAGCAATCGTCTGATCAGATTTCTACCAGCACAGAATATAAGTACAGTTTTCTCATCTGATAATAAACTTGCATATTTCTTTAAAAAAATAGTTAAATACTTAAGTCTTTACATCAAATTAATGTATTGCTTTACATTAATAGTTAATCATGATTTAAAAATCAAATTTTGATCAAAATGATGAAATGTTCCATAAATAAAAAAACTGTAAAAATTGATTGATATCAAATCGACCTGCCTTTTTTTTAAACAAACATGCAGCATATCCATAGTATATACAAACACATGAGTATTTTCAGTAAGACACTATGTACAATACACATAAAATATTAAAATATGGAATATTACTGTGAAAATATGAAAATATATCTGGAATGTGAAATATATATATATATAAACAATAAACTTTTGTCTCAAAAATATAATCCAATTCGAGTAAATAATTATTTTTTCCTCTCATTTATAATCTCAACAATGTTATAGGTATAACCACATATATAAATCATCACTTTGATTAGACATATAATGTTTTGCCAATTAGTACTTATCCTAAAAGTTTGATACTTTAAAGATTACCAGTATGTGCATGCTTGTTCTCAGCTCTAATTTGGTCAAAATTAAGATATGACATAAAAATTTTGACATTCAATAGTTTTTTTTAATTTGAAATCATAAAAGAGTGATAATGCCTGATACAACACATAAAAAGCACAAAATGTTTGTTAAAGCATCAGAAGAAACGATCTAACTTTGTCTTTTCCATATATCGATACATCAAGTCTTTTTTTCTAATTTCAATATCTTGAGTTAAAAAAAATATGTTATTTCATTTAAAGCAGTAGTAGAATTATATTGAAGTTATTATTAAAATTTCAAGAGCTTAATTTTTTTAAGTTCATCTGACAGCTGCTATTCTGTTTAATTGTTGTAGTATGAGATATATGGTGAGTTTCTGAATTTGTTTTTTTTATTTAAATGCAGCTTTTACTTTAGGCTGTTGCATTAAAACATATAGTATCCAGGGTTAGCACTTTGAAAATGGGTTTAACCACCTATAGAGGCAATTTAAGAATTACACTGTGCCAAATAATATTTGACATCCTCACCTAGTTGAGATTTTAAATTGCCTTCCCTGCATCATATTTGTGTTTTCATTGAACAGCACTAAAGAGTATTTTAAAAGGCTTTTGAAGAATATATTCATAATTAAAAGTTACAATAAATTAATTATATATAAATGCACTATTGGGCATTTATAAAACAACAATGGTAAATATTACCAAATGATAACAAGTATTTAATATTTTAAATGCTATGAATTAACAAACAGCATATGTCTTTATAGCAAATATAGCTGAATATGTAATATGTTATTGCTGGTGAATATCTTAATTAGCACTGTTATGTAAAATAAAATATTTTGCTTTAGCAGTAATCAATAATGTTAGTTTTATCCAAATAATGTGATCAATAAAAAAGAGGTATTTGGTTTTTAGAAATGCCATTATAAACAAATTCTTAGATCCTCATCCAACTTAATACGGGTAAGGGGACATTATATTTTAACCTTTTTATGAAAACTTCTATCAAAAGGGGGGAAAAGCCAGAAATCAAATTCAAACTTTATATTTGGCTCTGAAAAAGTCATGGTGGATCCGAATTTAGTTCTTTTTTTTATAATAACTAAAATATTTTCATGCATTAAAACTATAAGTTATACAATAAAAAAAAAAATTTTTTGTGGACAAAGAATTTATTCATAATCTAATAAGCTAAATGAAGAAACAGAAAAACAACACCCTGTTATAAATGGTACCCTTATCCAACTTTACAAATCAACCAAAAGTATCAACAAGTACAGTAAGATCTTACAACAACTTAAACAAAAAAAAAGTCTATCAAAAATATAATACCCTGTCAAATCATTTAAAAAATATCTCAACATTTGTATTCATTATTTTTTCAATGATTTTAACCAACAACCCTGTACATTCATTAACCCTGGACTAAAGTAGTTTTACCTAGTGTTGGTGAATTGCAGAATACACAACTGAACAAGCCCATGTATGGAGAAACCATAATGATTTAGCTGGTTATACCAGAAAAATATTCCTAATGCATTATAAATAAATTCTAGAAAACTCTCCTCCATGTTTTACAAGAAGTTACACTGTGAAAAAAAGACAATTTTCTTATGTTCGAAGTTATATCGTTACAGGAAAATTACCCATTTCAACCAAAAATTATTCTTAAAATTAAAACTGCAGTTATAAGTATGCAAAACAAGTAGCAGGCTGCAGATCCTAAATAAAAACAGTATGAGGAATGATTCAAACAAACCAGTATTCACATTTTTCTAACAAATCCTTCTTTTCATAAAAAACAGAAGATTTCAAAACTTACAAAATATAAGAATGTCATCTACTTTTCCCATAAACAGCTTAAAATCTCATGTCAATACAATAATCTTGAACAAAAATCTATTGTTCTTATAATTAATATATATAGTTTACAAATAGTGATAAAATATTTTGTATCCTAAATACCTATGTAGATTAATTTCATAGTAATGTACAATAATATATTAAAATAGTACTTATAATATCAATACCTAAAATTTGTTTCAACAAATGACATAATTTCAAGAAAGACTTCACCAGTAAAGGATAGTTTTTTCTGTTATTCATTGAAATATATGTACCCTCAATAACTTTGTAGCACATTCCATTACACATAAATAATACAACTTCTTTAAAATTAAAGGCTGTGACCCATCTTGACCTTACTGTATGGTGTTATTTCCTAGCTTTTCTCTCAAACATACAAATCTCATATAAAATTCTTCCAATATTAAGTTGATATACAACATTATAAGGAAAAGGTTACCTGTTTTTTTCCAAGATATAAAAGAAAAAATTATAAACTTTATCATAAAAATCTCAATTTGCATTTTAATCTCATATTTTGTATGTCAGAGATCTGCTTTTTTAAGTTCAAATTTAAACTTGATATTTGCACAATGTATGTTTGGAAGAACACAAACAATATTGCTTAAAGAATGTAATAGGGTTGGTTAACTTTTCTTAATTATACATAGCACATTTCTTTTTTTCCCCATGAAATAAATACCTCATCATTCTTTCATTTGGTTGCATTATGATTAAAAAATATTCAAACTGTTGATGTAAAATGTAAAAATAAGGTATAGATGGAACAATTGTTCACATGAACAGGAAGTAAAATGACCTCAGGTAAATGATGCATGTTAAAGTTCAAATCAGCTTATGATTTGAAGATGACAATTTTTTTACAGTGAAAAACTTATAAAAATAGTTGACAATTGTTGCAACAAACCATACAACTACAATAAACACTGAATAAATGTACTGAATAATTACTGATGTTATAGCACCATAACATAATTAAGTAGAACAAAAACTTATTGGTGGGTTATTTAATAATTGCATGATTTCTCCAATTCTGTATGCAATTTAAACCAGTTCTAACCAGTCTGACAAATCAGCCATAACATGATTTCTCTAAACCTGTATTCAAACCAGTTCTAACTAGTTTGACAAATCAGCCATAACATGATTTCTCTAAATCTGTATTTAAACCAGTTCTAACCAGTATGACAAATCAGCCATAACATGATTTCTCTAAATCTGTATTCAAACCAGTTCTAACCAGTCTGACAAATCAGCCATAACATGATTTCTCTAAATCTGTATCCAAACCAGTTCTAACTAGTTTATCAAATTGGCGTACTTTCCCTGGATATCCATCTGGATCTTTGTACACAGGATTTCCAATAAATAATTAGAGAAACCAATTCTACCACTTTACCCAAGTTCCCCAAAATATTCTTCATCTCTCAATATTTTAATTTAATGTAAACCTTAACATTTTTTGAAGTTTGAAAGTTTTACATTAACCTTGAGTGGATAAATGTTGTTATCAACAAGGTGGAGTGGTAGAATCTACATTAACCTTGAGTGGATACATGTTGTTATCAACAAGGTGGAGTGGTAGAATCTACAATAACCATCAGATTTAAGTATGGACTGTATGTAATAACCAATAAAACACTTTACAGTGAAACCTGTAAACTAAATCCCCTGTGTTCTGATCTCAAATGATTGATTCATGAAATAAATATTACAAATGTAGTATGGCATCTTTTGACATATATCTGTTCTTTCAGACCCGCTTTGTAAAGTTTTCAGGAAACACCCCTTTCTTTCCATCACTTTTCCTCATACCAAGTAACCAACCATCATCCTATAATAAAAAAATGTAACAAATTAATAAAGTTTAAACTACAAATTTAATCAAATAAGTAATTGTACAGAACTATAATGTACAATAGTGTACTTAGTTGAATCCATTTCTTCTACACAGACACAGGAAGAAAATTTCAGCTTTAACTCTGACATCCAGAACAAGATACACATAAATCATTCCTAGAGATAGTTAAAAGACTTTTTTTTTTAAATTTGGAATTTGGAAGGAGCAAAAAATATGCTATTTCCCTCTTATTTGATATTACCTTATTGCTACTAAGTTAACAATATTTCATGTTACCTGATCATCTGGGTCATCAAATGGTAAAACATAGATTAACTCCCCTGCTTCAAATGGCAGTTCATCTTCGTCTTCATTTTTATATACATGTGTTGCTACTACCTGTAACAATAACCAATAAAAAACTGTCATAAGTTCTAACGAGATGACATCTCCTACAATATGTAAACAAATTAAGCATGCATTTTTCTGTAATACTGCAAGAGCAATATCTTTTTTTAATAACTAGTTTATCGGTAGGTATTACCTAATTAATCTAAACTTATCAGGCTTATAACTATTACTTAGAAGGTATTATCTAATAACTGTGGATTCATTATTATTAGAAAGATACCAAATTAACTTGATTTCAGGGATATAGGTGAACCACGAATTACAATGTTCCACAAAGTATATCTTCTCTATAGACTTACATGCAGACTTTGGGAAACCATAAAAATACAATTTCCTCGAAAATACAATTTTTCCACAATCCAAGAAAATTGGTAACCATGGAAATAAATAAATCCACAGTAATCTTAACTTATCAGGTAAGGCAAAAAATGGGGAATTTATAAAGACATATTTTACTATAAGAAAGATATTTATTTTATTCGAATATCAAATTTTAGAAATGAATAGGCGGAGATGTAAAAGATCAACATTTCATAAATTTTATTCAAAATTATAACAGCTATTTTTACTTTTTCTAACAAAGAAAACAATAAGGAAATGGTGTTTTGGACCTTAAACTGCTTATTTTAATTAGCAGTATTTTCCACATAATAAAGATATTATTTCCAACTACACATGTTTTACTGCTAAGCATAATTTAATTCAAAGTATCAGAAAACAGGAAGTAGGAATCTGACAGATCTCAAAATTGTTCTTAGATTTCAACTCATCATTGTCAAGCTGCTGAAGAAATATGAGGTCTTTTTGTCAAGAGGTTCCCGAGAAAAGTGTGAAGAAAATATTTATGGACAAGTAGATGGACAAACAGATGAATGGATGGATGGACAAGGTGGATGCAATATAGCTCCCACTTCAAGAGTGGGGGTAAAATAATATATAAAGAATAGACATTCTGTCCCAATAACTTACCACATAAAGACAATCATCAGGCAATATATCTGGGATTTTAGATGAGCTTGGAATTTCATAAAAATTATCATCATCATTGTCTTTATCATCAGAAACATCTAACTGATCAGGAACTTTATCATAATAATGATCTGAATCGTGATCCTCATTCTTATTTTCTACAGCTGGTGCAGGTTTGGTTGGAATGTCATCGTCTTCTGGAGGAGGCTCCTGAGGGGGTTCTGGAGGTTCTGACTGGGGTTTTGACGGAGCATGTAATGGCATCTCCTCGCTATTTTCCACAGCAGTCTGTTTAGCAGTTTCTTTGCTTTTCTCCACTTTCAGTTCTTCATCTGTGGGACCATTCACTAATGGCTGTTCTGAATTTACCTTAAAAGATAACTGGTATCTTAGTATGGCTAACATAAATTGGTACCAGTATTTATGAAATCTCTGTAATGTCTCTAAGTCTGATATACAGAGAGAACATAAAACAAGATAAACAATATATCTTATGTTTTAAAATTCAACAAAGTCATAACTAAACACTGGACATAATTAAAACTTTTCTTTTATTCAAAGTTTTACAACAAATGATTTGGCAACATAAAACACAACAAAACTCTAACTGAACTAAGATGCTCCTGATGAGTAAGCAGTAACACACAACAAAACTCTAACTGAACTAAGATGCTCCTGATGAGTAAGCAGTAACACACAACAAAACTCTAACTGAACTAAGATGCTCCTGATGAGTAAGCAGTAAATAAAGGCAACAGTAGTATACCGCTGTTCGAAACTCATAAATTGATAGAGATAAAAACAAATCTGGGTTACAAACTAAAACTGAGGGAAACGCATCAAATATAAAAGGAGAACAACGACACAACAAAAACACAACATTAAAATGTAACACACACAGAAACGAACTATAATATAACAATGGCTATTTTCCTGACTTGGTACAGGACATTTTAAGAAAAAAATGGTGGGTTGAACCTGGTTTTGTGGCATGCCAAACCTCCCACTTTAATGGCAACGTACAAAACTCTAACTGAACTAAGATGCTCCTGATGAGTAAGTAGTAACACACAACAAAACTCTAACTGAACTAAGATGCTCCTGATGAGTAAGCAGTAAATAAAGGCAACAGTAGTATACCGCTGTTCGAAACTCATAAATTGATAGAGATAAAAACAAATCTGGGTTACAAACTAAAACTGAGGGAAACGCATCAAATATAAGAGGAGAACAACGACACAACAAAAACACAACATTAAAATGTAACACACACAGAAACGAACTATAATATAACAATGGCCATTTTCCTGACTTGGTACAGGACATTTTAAGAAAAAAATGGTGGGTTGAACCTGGTTTTGTGGCATGCCAAACCTCCCACTTTAATGGCAACGTACAAAACTCTAACTGAACTAAGATGCTCCTGATGAGTAAGCAGTAACACACAACAAAACTCTAACTGAACTAAGATGCTCCTGATGAGTAAGCAGTAACACACAACAAAATTCTAACTGAAATAGATGCTCCTGATGAGTAAGCAGTAACACACAACAAAACTCTAACTGAACTAAGATGCTCCTGATGAGTAAGCAGTAACAGATTCATAGTTGCACAGGACCTATTCCTCAAAACAAATAAAATCTGAAATTATGAGATAGCTCACACAAGGATAGTCCCACAGCACAAATTTCATTATCTCTCACAGGTTAATTCCCATATGCCCCCCCCCAACCCAGTGGGTATAATTAAGTGATTAGTTGCATTCAGTTATGAGATATTCTCAGATCAGGAGAAATAAACTTTATGTCTGTGAAATTAAATTGAACAATTAATTTCATATCAATTTTTGTAACATGTAAAATGATCTGCAATCTTTCCCTTATATGTTGTATGATCACTTTAATATTTTCTCAGATCCATAAAATCTGTGTCAAACCCAAATACATAAGATGCCAACCCCCTTTTGGTGAAATCAGTAAAAAAGGTATTAAGATTTCCGAAATTTGTGTATTTTGTCAGTAATAATATTTTCTTTGTAAAATTTTATAATAACCATATAAACAACTAGGCACACAGTGATGTGATTGATTGATTATTGGTTGCTTAACGTCCAGTGGCAAATATTTCATGCATGTTCAGGACGAGAACAAATAAACAGTAAATACAACAATTAGATCCTGTGATATACGCCGTTCGGAATGAAGGTCAGGGAAATTTAGAATGTCACTGGAAAATGAGAGTATATTGGATATGGAATAGACATTTAGCATTGCCATAGGCCACCTACGGACCCCTGAAAGATTTGTTACAACAGTTCTTAACATGCACAGTGCATGGCACTCTTTGAACATGAGGCATCAGATTTAACGTCCCCATTCTGATCGGATGTGGCTGCGTTATTGTACATCCCGCACAGCCAAACGGACGCTTCACTTTGGCAAGGGTTTAACTGCCGGTCGGCAGAAGACCTGCAGTGATCATATTTCTATTCCCCAGTCACTTTTGGGAGTGGCACACAGTAACAATTTCATGATTTCCTTTATTTTTCAAAACCACGATTCAAAGTTAATGAGCAAGTGAGAAACACCAACCAATGCGCTAAATGGAAGTCTTGTTCACAATATATGCAAAAGGCATAATGTTCCCGTTTTCAATTTCGTTTTCAGAGTTTTCTTTCCATGCGTCACAAATTTAATTGCTTAACCAGACATAATTTTGAAATCATAGACTTGTTTCGTTCATGAATTATTTGGAATTTTACAAGAAATGGAGAGATGTTTCACACTGGTAGATAGTTACGAGAAACCCAAAGGACAATAACAGTCCAATTCATTAAAGCGCTTAATGTTACACGATTCTAACCTAAAATGAAGCGTCACAATGATAAAAATGATATTAAACGGAGAACTGTTCTGAACAGTTAATGAAGGTAAATCAGTAACAAATAGACTGTTAATCATAACACCGTAATTTTCGTCCAAAATTCATAACAATTATGGGAAAATTGTAAATGGTTGGCATCTATGCAAATATGGCATTTTTAAAACAAAACCAATACCTGGTCAGGACCTGTGTTGCTGTGTATAATTGATTAAAATTACAAACTATTGCCATGCAAGAAGTAGTTGCATAGTATATCTTAAAATTGATTTCACGCTGTAACTCAACATTATCAAGCTGCAGACCATATATTAAAGTATTCCCTTCCACAGAAGCTAAGAAATCTTTGTCGAAAGTTTTCACCCAAAGTCTTTCTGACAGATGGACTGAACATCACAGCAGACTACCATAACCAAATCTTTAACCTGTTAGACAGATGCACATAAAATATAATCCCCCTACTATCATCCACTGCGAAAGGCATATACAAATTTTAATGTATTTTACCATTGGTTCTTCATATGTATCAACTGGACCTTCCATGTGCTCTGTATGTCTACTTTCATTTTCATCATTTGTTGATTCTTTTTCTACTTTTGAAGGAGTTGTGTAATTCAATTCACTATTTTCATAAAGCGGACCTATAACAGACAAATCAGATGTAAGGTATAGTAAAAACCTGTCATGTATAGTAAAATCCTGTCATGTATAGTAATAAAATGCTCCGCTGGGGCGCAGCTTGATACGACCGCAGATGTCAAACCCTGAACAGTTGGGGCAAGTATGGACACAACATTCAAGCTTGATACAGCACTGAATTTGGATTGTAATTAAATATTTGACACAGCATAGGTTTCTGACACAGATTGAAAGTGGTCTAAAAACTTAATATATAAATAAAATTTTTTAATTTACCTATTCAAACCATATCATTATTATTTGCTTTTATATATAAATCAGAATTACCCCCAAAATCAATCCCAGCCTTCCCTTTGTGGTATGGTACCTTGCAGTACAATTTCAGAGAGATCCATACACTTGAACACAAGTTATTGTCTGGAAACTAGAAAAATGCTTATTTTTGGCCCCTTATTCCTAAGCTTTTTGGGCAATTACCCCCAAACTCAATTCCAGCTTTCCCTTTGTGATATGGAACCTTGTTGTACAATTTCAGAAAGATCCATACACTTGCACACAAGTTATTGTCATGAAACTAGAAAAATGCTTGTTTTTTTCCCCTTTTTGGCCCCTAATTCCTAAAATTTGGAGGCAATTACCCCCAAAATCAATTCCAGCATTCCCTTTGTGATATGGAACCTTGTTGTACAATGTCAGAGAGATCCATACACTTACACACAAGTTATGTCTGGAAGTTACAAAAATGCATATTTTTGGCCCCTTTTTGGCCCCTAATTCCTTAACTGTTGGTACCATAACCCCCAAAATCAATTCCCACCTTCCTTTTGTGGTATTGAACCTTACGGTAAAATTTCATTGAGATCCATTCACTTAAACTAAAGTTAGAGTGCGAAAACTAATGTGTCTTCGGACGACGACGCCAACGACGCCAACGTCATACCAATATACGACCACAAAAATTTTTTTGCGGTCGTATAAAAACCTGTCATGTATAGTAAAAACCTGTAATGTATATTAAAAACTGTAATCTTTTATCTAAATCTTGCAATGGTCAAATCGGGCAAATATTCAATGGGTAAATATCAACTGTAAGTGAAAAACTTAACACTCGAAACTTTTATATCATGTTAGTTTTTTCTACTAAACACATTAAATCTGACACAAGATTGTAAGTCAGCCAAAAAAAATTAATTGAGAAATCATTTCAAAGTTTCTCTTGAATGTTTAGATATATCAAATTTATGAAATTCTTCACTTTTGTTTCTTTTTTTCATATTTCTGGAAAAATTTTATGCTAACAGAAGATCGGCATCCATTTCATTTCATTATGATATACTGATTGATATCAAAATTCAATCTCTACATATCCTTTTTTTGTGTCCTTGGGTAGCTGTCACATTGATGCTTCCCCCACTTTTATCAATCATTAGAGAAATGCTAAGGTAAAAGTGTAAAGTTTAAACAATTTCCTGATCAGACAATTTATATTTGATGTTAGTTGAGGAATGTAAAGTCTATTTAGGAAGAAATAGAACTTTTTATTACTGTATATTTACACTACAGAACTGCATGAAAAATGAAAAAAAAATTTGAGCAATCTTTCATCAGTATGCCAAAATCTTTAATGAAAACTGAAACTTATCTTTAACTAAATTAGAATTTACAATGTATTTCGAACTTCAATATGTAAATAACATGTTTTATTATAAGTAATTGCTTATGTTAAAATGTACAATGTTGGAATAATACACCATAACCATCATCCTAGATAATGACCTACACAGCACATGCTCTACAAACAATGTCTATTTTGTTTATATTTCTAATCTTATCTTTGTACCATGATGCTAAGTGTCAATGAATGAAGATATCTATTTCTCTTATTTGGCTTTCCTAGCATTGCACTTAAATTACACAGAAATGGCGAAGGAACTGACTGCCGTGCATTGAAGCAATATACTTGGCATGGACTTGCAGGTAAATTAATGAAATCAATGATCAGTATTTGAAATAGAAAAGTGCTGTTCACATGGTTAAAAAGATAAAAGATTTTTAGGTAGTGTAAAAATATGCAAGTTGAAGACAAGTTTAATTTTTTGATGGAATGCACTGCATATGAAAAGGAAATGAATTTTATACTTGATGAAGCATGTATTCAATGTAAAAATTTCCCTTATATTTCAAAGTATCAACAGTTTATATACTTGATGTCTAGTGTGTCTCAAAATGTTAATGTATCAGTGTCAAGATTTGTTAGTACTTGTTTTGAATTAGGAAGAAATTTTCATTCCAGTGACTATGTAGAGATACAATTAGTTTATGAACTTTGTATCAAAAAAAGGTTAATATTCTATATTCTTGGAAACAGGTCCTTAATTGGACTTAATAAGGTATTCATATTCATAGTCTCATATTTTCTTATATCAAAGTGCTTCCTTTCTCAATTACACGATCTGCCACATGGAAAATAAATTGTAGATCTATTGATTTTTATAGTACTTAATACTTATGGTTGGAATGCAAAAATCTGCAAGAGGATAAAGTGACAGTTGTAAAATAAGTGTTAATATTCCCTGTCAAAGAAACTTGTACCTATAACATCCACTGACTAATAATATTGCCTATAACATAAACTGGTATCTATAACATCCACTGACTATTAATATTCCCTGTAACATAAACTGGTATCTATAACATCCACTGACTATTAATATTCTCTATCAAAGAAACTAATACCTATAACAAACACTGACTAATATTTTTTCATGTTTACCACCTGTTTAAGCTTGTGTATCCTTAGCAACCCTTAAATTTATTGGTAAATTTTTTTTCCTCAAATAATCCAAAAAAAGAAAAAGATGCATTATTATTATTGTACCATTATTAATTACAAAAAAAAATGTAGTTTGAATACCAATAAGTCAGCTATGCAATTGAAAAATGTACAATGGTTGCTAAGGTAATACATTATAAGGGTCTATACTGCAATGTTGCTAGGTTAAGATGTTATTAGCCTGGGATCCTGACTCATTCTTTACTGCCGTTATAGATAAGCAGTAAACCAGGATCCCAGGCTAAGGTGTTAATTGAATGATGGGTAATCAAGATGATGTTCCTATACCTTTCTTTACAGCCTCGGTTTGGGGCACAGGGGTCTGAGGACCTGTAAACAGTTCCATAATTCATAATAATTTTTATCACACAATTTCGTATTCTTTTTACTTTCACATTTTTCCTCAAATGATTATCCTTAATTTTTATGGGGAAATGGTGAATAAATGATAGGGGAGAAATTTCCTGGTTTAAAACTTTCATCAAGATACAACTGAGAAAAAATATCTTAGTGAAGAATAAACTTTCACATATCTTTAAGTCTTCTCCAATGACTGTCAACTAAAAGAAAATACATAAAACCTTCATTATTTTAAACTACTGTATAAACAATGGTTGCTGTCTCATTGACAAATACCACACCCATCTTTTTATTCATAATGTATGTAAACTGTTATAAGAAATACTACTGGTGACACTTTAATAAATGGATATTTATATCAAAAGATTCAGACTTTTTTTGTGTTTCTAATTGTTTAATAAGTATCAAGTAGTTTCAAAGCATTGAAAAAGTCCCAAATCATAATAAATAATTTTGAATATCTATATTCATAGCTATTTAAATTTGATAACATACTTTCTGGCGGACTTTCTGGTTCTGATGATAATCCATTTGTCAGTCCTTCACCATTTGTCTTTACGGGAGTTGCCGCTGAGCTGGCAGCTGTTGCAAATGAAGTGTCAGGAGTTGCCACCGAGAGGTCTGGTGTGGCCGCTGAGGTTTCATGTGTTACCATTGAAGTATCATGTGTTGCAGCTGCTGGTGATGATGGTGGTCTATCTGGTTTTGGTGATGTCTTTTTACTTAGGATTTGTTGGCTTGAATGATTTGAATCATTGTCACTACTGTGCCCATTTACTACAGGTTCCCTGTTAAGAAAAATAGAATGAAATAAGTCACAAAATTACTTTGAAATTCATTGGTTAATCAAAATTATTAAATATGCCTATAAAGGTTTTGTTTAGATAAATTTCTCTTTATCATGTCTTTTTTTCTGAACTAAACTTAATCTTAGCTTCAAACTTTAATGCAATTATTCATTTGTAGTGTAATGTGCAATGTCTAATATCAATGTGTATTTTCATGTCTGTTATTAATGTGTATTTTCATGTCTGTTATTAATGTGTATTTTCATGTCTGTTATTAATGTGTATTTTCATGTCTAATATTAATGTGTATTTTCGTTTATTTTCATGTCTGTTATTTAAGTGTATTTGCATGTCTGTTATCAATGTGTTTTTGTCATGTCTGTTATTAATGTGTATTTTCATGACTGTTATTTATGTGTATTTTCACGTCTGTTTTTAATGTTTATTTTCATGTCTGTTATCAATGTGTATTTTCATGTCTGTTATTAATGTATATTTTCATGGCTGTTATCAATGTGTTTATTCATGTCTGTTATTTATGTGTATTTCCATGTCTGTTATTCTTGTCTGTTATTTATGTGTATTTCCATGTCTATTATTCATGTGTATTTCCATGTCTGTTATTCTTGTCTGTTATTTATGTGTATTTCCATGTCTTGTTTTTTAATTGCATTGCAATGTCTGTTTTTTATTTGCATTGCAATTTCTAATATTGAGTTATATCCCAATTGTCTATTATTCATTTGCTTCACAATCATGACTATTATTCAAAAGAAAGGCACAGTTACTTAATTCCTACAAAATGTTTTAGATTCAATTAAAAGGTATTAGTTGCATTTCAATGATTTTAGTAAATAGACTATAAAATATCAGAAATTTTCAATCAAAGTAATTAATTCATTGTTTACTTGTTTTTGTCAAAGATACAATAATAATATGAAAATGCAAAAAAAATCATGCTAAAATGATTTATTATAATGTTTTATGAAGAATGAAACTTCTAGGGAAAAAAGTGAACTTCAGTAAAATTAATGTTGGCCTGTAACCTAAGTAAATATGAATCATTAGAAAACATGTCATGCTGTTAGTATAAATATGAGAATGTGAAAAAAGTTTAAAAACTTGCTGAAAATGCATATGATGCAAAGAACTTAATTCCAATACAATTTGTTACTAAACATAACAAGAACAACATATTAAACCTGAAACTGCAGAATCCAACTTACATAAAGAAAGAAAATCTCATACTGAAATAACAAATCAAATATTCTAATGCAGTTTTAATGTAACAATTTTTTTCATTGGCTTAAATTTACCATCAAATCCACAGTTGACATGTCCTAACTAAGGAGTGAGACATCATATTGAATTGCTTGGAACAACAAATGTTCAATTACTACAATGTAATCAAAAATAATACAACACCTACCTAAAAAACTTCATTTTCATGTGATTAATCAAAATTTGAATCTAAGAAGTCACCAAAATCATTCATGAAGTTTCACAAACTTCCATTTAATTTCAAATTTATGATTTTTTTTCAACCTCTAACATAATATTTCTGTTTGTAATGCATTAGAATCAGAATAACAGTACTGTAATGTAAGAGTTGCCATCGTCAATTTGAATTTGATGGTTGCAAATATTCCTTTTGCATGCTCCTCTACTCGTCGCCAGTAAAACTGCATTTGCTACCATTAAAATGGCCAATTGACAGCAGCAACTCTTCAGTTCTGTTATTCCTTATATCAGAGGCACTTCAAAAATTATTGTAATTTTATTGATTATTGATGTATCCTAAGCTCCAAACAGAAATTGTAGATTCTATGATATGTTTTCGGCTGGCAATGATTAGGTTCACAGCTAAAAAATGGCACTTTTTTTAGACCTCAACCACCCATTACATAAAATTTTCATTTTCCTTATAATTCTTAAAAAATTCTAAAGAAAATAAAATTTATTAATTTGAGTTTCTCCCAAATGTATTTAAATCTGGAACAACTCTGAACTGAAATTGCTTGCTGCAGATATGATACCCATTTCCATGAACTTGAATAGCTCTTCTCGTTAACATTTATAACTTAAACCACTAAAATGATGAAAGATAGTGTAATGTATTTACAACTAAATAAGTTCCATATTTTCAGTAATAACAATTTCAACATAAGATTAAAGCTTGTTTCTTTGGAAAAGGGTATCTCTAGCTAATAATTTTTTCATTTGTCATTTCTTCTTTCAAAGCTGGGGATGGTATATATATATATATATACAAAAGTCTAAATTGAAAACAACGTTCAAACCTATGATTGCGTTGGATAAAAACCGCAATTTTTATACGTGTGCATGTAAAACAAATTTCTTGGTAGAGGGGTCTAAATACAGCACAAACAACAATTTCCAAAAGACCAAAAAAAGTGAAAAAGTCTATTTAACAAAACGCATTTGACTAACAGGTCGAACAACTGATGTTCTTAAACCCTGCTGACTGTCATTGGCGATTGCCAAATAAATTGATCACCAGATCTAACAAAATGGATCTTAATATTAATTAAATGTCAAACAGAAAACAATAAACTTGTGGAAAAGATGGTATGCCACAAACATGAGGTGCAAAAATTTGTACACCATATCCGGATTTCGACAATTAATGTCTCTTCAGTGATGTTAGGGATCGAAACGGTATTTGGAAGGCCATATAATTTACCTCAATTTGGGATAGACTCTTGAATTTTAAAGAGTCGAAATAGGATGAACGGATCATATAAACCCGAAGGAAAATATAATACAAGCCCAAACGAAAAAATATACAAAAGTCTAAATTGAAAACAACGTTCAAACCTATGATTGCATTGGATAAAAACCGCAATTTTTATACGTGTGCATGTAAAACAAATTTCTTGGTAGAGGGGTCTAAATACAGCACAAACAACAATTTCCAAAAGACCAAAAAAAGTGAAAAAGTCTATTTAACAAAACGCATTTGACTAACATATATATGTATAAGTATGTCTAAACAAGTGACAACTCCATCCATTGGATCACCAGTGAAGGTGATACATGGCTGAAAACATATATTATATTCATAATTACTCTAAATCTCAGCACAACAATGTTAAATCTGCAAATTTGCGGAAGCAAATTTTTGTTCTTCCCTCGCCGGGATTCGAACTCATGCTATTGAGATATCGAGACAACACCGCCTGCACTGTGTCCAGCCCTCTAGGTGGTATTGTCTCGATATCTCAATAGCATGAGTTCGAATCCTGGCAAGAAGAACAAAAATTTGCTTCCGTAAATTTGCAGATTTAACATTGTTGTGCTGATATTTAGAGTAATTATGAATATAAGATATGTTTTCAGCCATGTATCACCTTCACTGGTGATCCAATGGATGGAGTTGTCGTAGAGTTGTCACTTGTTTTGATGTACTTATCAAATAATAATTTCTGTGACTGCATCTTACGATCCTTTACGATAGATAATTAGCTAATCTGCATTCAATTCAATCTTCATGCCTAATTTATCATGTACTGTGTTACAACTCTAGATTCTACTGACGAGGAAAGGTAACACTAGGCCACTGAAAGCTGAATTTTTAGTTCAGTCTAGAGCGCTGGACACAGTGCAGGCTGTGTTGTCTCGATATCTCAATAGCTGAGTTCGAATCCCGGCGAGGGAAGAAAAAAATTGCTTCTGCAAATTTGCAGATTTAACATTGTTGTGCTGATATATACATGTATATATATCTATATATGGTAAGAGTGTAAAGAGTGAATAAATGTAGTTGCATATTTACTTATACAATCAGAGGCCGTATTTTTTATGCATGGATGAAGGTGGAAAAAACTATGTATGGACATAATTGTCATTTCTGAGGTTATAGATGATATATGGGTATGCAGGTGAATTATTCCTTACTGGTTCACTCATATCCATTGAGAACTGAATACTTACTCGTTAGCCATGATTCCACTGAGAGGTCGTGGTTGGTATGTATACTGTTTATGTTCCTCTGCTAATGTCTCAGTAATGGACATAAGTGTGTCACTAAGCTGTAAAATAGATAGGTAGTTTAGCAATTGGCTGAGGTGTGTCACTTAAAGCTGTAAAATATGAAGGTAGTTTAGCAATGTCTTGTCATCAGTCAGAGAGAGCTCAGACATCGGGTACTATGAATTAACCTATTTTTGTGGGTACCAATTTTTTGTGGATTGAAGAAATATCGCATTTTCACAGACATTTGATAGCCTATAGGAAATGTGTACTTTGTTGAACATATAAATTTCGGGGTTTAACTATACCAAGGAAATCAACTAAAATAGGTACCTGTATCTCAAGAATAATAGTGATTCCACAGTACATCATTTTTTTATTACTTATAAATGGCTTTGGACAATCTTTCATTAACTGTGAGTACTCTAAGATCCGTTCTTAGTGTCTTTAGTGTTTTTGTTAGATATTTTGATGCTTTATATGGATCCGATGTGTCAAGCCCTTTTCAACTGATTTTTATAGCTTGTTCTTATGTTGTGTTGTTACACCACAGTCCTGGGTAAGAGGGAGTGTTGGGCGCCAGCAAACATGTTTAGCCCCATCATATTCTGTATAGGCCTGTATCAGGTAAGAAGTGTGTAACTTAGTGGTTGTTGTTTTGTGCTGTACGTCATATTAGCTTTTTTTTGTTCTTACTGTTTTGAACATAAATCAGGACGTTAGTTTTCTAGATTGAATTGTTTTACATTTTGTTATGTTGGGCCTTCATAGCTTGCTATGCAGTAAGAGTTTTAATCATTGGTGAAGGCAGTATGATGACATATAGTTGCTAACATCTGTGTCATTTTGTCTCTGGTGGAAAGTTGTCTCATTGGCAACCATAGCACATCTTTTTATTTAATATATGCTGTGTCACTTAGCTGTAATAGCGGTACTAAGTATAGAAGGCTATTTTTGTGGGGTGTCAATTTTTGCTTATTTCGGCGGATAAACCAAAATTGCCAAATTGGATTCCAACTATTATTATTCACATATATGGAACTTATTATTGCTTGCTACAGCATTTTGGGAACGTAGCGAGTTTATATAACTGAGTTTCTTCCCTTGACTTTTAAGGTTTTTTTAAGAAGTAGATATCAATTAGTGTCAAATTTAATCAAAATTGTTTGCCAAATATTACATTCTTTAAAAAAAATAATTAGTACACCAAAGATCCTGTTATATTCGTAACTCATTAAATAAACCAAAAACAAATACCAAGGTACCACTATACTTTAACACAATGATCAATATATTAATCAGATATCTGGTACCCTTATACTTTAACACAATGATCAATATATTGATCAGATATCTGGTACCCCTATACTTTAACACAATGATCAATATATTAATCAGATATCTGGTACCCCTATACTTTACAACAATGATCAATATATTAATCAGATATCTTTCTCAAATCACTATAATTTATGAAATTAAAGGCTAATTATATTTTATATGTACTCTTTCCAATAAAGCATGCATATTCAATATCAATATAGCTTCTTTTTTATATATAAATATAACTACTTTTGTTATATTTTTTACTTTTAACCTGCATAAAGTTCAGCATCTGCAAAAATAATTATTAAGAAATTTTAAATCAGCCAAAAAAAAAAAAATGCCATAATTTTTTTTATATTTTTTTACACCTTAACTGCTTAATTTTACACCTGGGAAAAACCCTGGTGTATGGTAGGAAGATAGAATAGCAAAAGGCATGGCTGTGTTACTTTGATGTAAAATTCAGCTGTAGTATTATGATAGATATAGATGTAAAATCTAAAGGTAGTATGGATCTGAGTAAAAATAGATGAAAATGAACTTCAAACAGAGTGAGACCAGATTAAACCATTACATTATAATCCATATATATATATAGTTTTATTTTATTATGTCCCCTAATTAAGGATCACTGAAATAAATATCTGCCTTCCTCCAAAATTCAACTTTCATAACAGAGGTCTGGGTGAATGTTTATAACAATTCATTTATTGCTACACTTAAAAAATTTCTGTCTGCCTTAGTTAGAAATCAAGTAATGAAACTAGACAACCTTCAACTATTTTCCAAGTATGCATGATGCATTTTTTTAAGCATAATTAAATTTTAAGTTGTAATGCTTTTATTATTTTCCTGAAAGCTGTTTGAATTTTATATTAAAACCATCATAAACAGATGTATTTATATCAAGTTGATTCAAATCAACCTGTATTTTTTAATTCTAAAATGAAGTTGTCCTTATTTCATGGATATCCAATCTTTACATACCTTGGCAGTTTCACCATGGAATGTACTCTCAGCATTGAAGTAACTTTTAAATGTTGTTGCAAAGAAGTTGACTCGACTGAAACAAAAAAATGTAATTTAAAAACAGATCCAATTCTAGCTAATCAATACATGCAATAATAAAGTGTTTACTGAAATTGATATAAGGATGAATGTAACTTGCTTACATTGGGTATTAGGTTCAATTTAATTCAAAATAAGGATATCACAATACTGATTCCCCTCCTATAATAACAAATAACGGTTGTGTGTATTTTTTTCAAAAATATTGTTATATTTAAGCTTTCAAGCAGAGAATGCATAAAGCATTTTGATAAAAAAAAAAAATATAAACTTTCATCAAAATGGCTAGGCAGAAAGGCGTACACTGGATAGATTTGTTTTTGTTCGGACCAATTTCTGTGGATTGAGGAAAAAATGCATTTTTTCGCGGATATTTGATTTTGTGGTTTTGCCAAAGTTTGCATACAAGACTATAGGAAATTTTTGCTTCATAGAACAATGAAATTCTTGATTTACCTTTACCCCACGAATAATAATGAACTGACAGTATCTGATATCACTTAACTGACCTTTACCCCACGAATAATAATGAACTGACAGTATCTGATATCACTTAACTGACCTTTACCCCATGAATAATAATGAGCTCATAGTATCTGATATCACTTAACAGACCTTTACCCCACGAATAATAATGAACTCACAGTATCTGATATTACTTAACAGACCATTTCCCCACGAATAATAATGAACTGACAGTATCTGATATCACTTAACAGACCTTTACCCCATGAATAATAATGAACTCATAGTATCTGATATCACTTAACAGACCTTTACCCCACGAATAATAATGAACTCACAGTATCTGATATCACTTAACAGACCTTTACCCCACGAATAATAATGAACTGACAGTATCTGATATCACTTAACAGACCTTTACCCCACGAATAATAATGAACTCACAGTATCTGATATCACTTAACAGACCTTTACCCCACGAATAATAATGAACTGACAGTATCTGATATCACTTAACAGACCTTTACCCCACGAATAATAATGAGCTGACAGTATCTGATATCACTTAACAGACCTTTACCCCACGTATAATAATGAGCTGACAGTATCTGATATCACTTAACAGACCTTTACCCCACGAATAATAATGAACTCACAGTATCTGATATCACTTAACAGACCTTTACCCCACGAATAATAATGAGCTGACAGTATCTGATATCACTTAACTGACCTTTACCCCATGAATAATAATGAGCTCATAGTATCTGATATCACTTAAAAGACCTTTAGCCCACGAATAATAATGAACTCACAGTATCTGATATCACTTAACAGACCATTTCCCCACGAATAATAATGAGCTGACAGTATCTGATATCACTTAACAGACCTTTACCCCATGAATAATAATGAACTCATAGTATCTGATATCACTTAACAGACCTTTACCCCATGTATAATAATGAACTCACAGTATCTGATATCACTTAACAGACCTTTACCCCACGATTAATAATGAACTGACAGTATCTGATATCACTTAACAGACCTTTACCCCACGAATAATAATGAGCTGACAGTATCTGATATCACTTAACAGACCTTTACCCACGAATAATAATGAGCTGACAGTATCTGATATCACTTAACAGACCTTTACCCTACGATTAATAATGAACTGACAGTATCTGATATCACTTAACAGACCTTTACCCCATGTATAATAATGAACTCACAGTATCTGATATCACTTAACATACCTTTACCCCACGTATAATAATGAACTCACAGTATCTGATATCACTTAACAGACCTTTACCCCACGAATAATAATGAAATGACAGTATCTGATATCACTTAACAGACCTTTACCCCATGAATAATATTGAACTGACAGTATCTGATATTACTTAACAGACCTTTACCCCAGGAATAATAATGAACTCATAGTATCTGATATCACTTAACAGACCTTTACCCCATGTATAATAATGAACTCACAGTATCTGATATCACTTAACAGACCTTTACTCCACGAATAATAATGAATTGACAGTATCTGATATCACTTAACAGACCTTTACCCCACATATAATAATGAACTCACAGTATCTGATATCACTTAACAGACCTTAACCCCACGAATAATAATGAACTGACAGTATCTGATATCACTTAACAGACCTTTACCCCACGAATAATAATGAACTGACAGTATCTGATATCACTTAACAGACCTTTACCCCACGAATAATAATGAGCTGACAGTATCTGATATCACTTAACAGACCTTTACCCCACGAATAATAATGAGCTGACAGTATCTGATATCACTTAACAGACCATTTCCCCACAATTAATAATGAACTCACAGTATCTGATATTACTTAACAGACCTTTACCCCACGAATAATAATGAACTGACAGTATCTGATATCACTTAACAGACCTTTACCCCACGAATAATAATGAGCTGACAGTATCTGATATCACTTAACAGACCTTTACCCCACGAATAATAATGAGCTGACAGTATCTGATATCACTTAACAGACCTTTACCCCACAAATAATAATGAACTGACAGTATCTGATATCACTTAACAGACCTTTACCCTCACGAATAATAATGAGCTGACAGTATCTGGTATCACTTAACAGACCTTTACCCCACGAATAATAATGAGCTGACAGTATCTGATATCACTTAACAGACCTTTACCCCACGAATAATAATGAACTGACAGTATCTGATATCACTTAACAGACCTTTACCCCACGTATAATAATGAGCTGACAGTATCTGATATCACTTAACAGACCTTTACCCCATGAATAATAATGAGCTCATAGTATCTGATATCACTTAAAAGACCTTTAGCCCACGAATAATAATGAGCTGACAGTATCTGATATCACTTAACAGACCTTTACCCCACATATAATAATGAACTCACAGTATCTGATATCACTTAACAGACCTTTACCCCACGAATAATAATGAACTGACAGTATCTGATATCACTTAACAGACCTTTACCCCACGAATAATAATGAGCTGACAGTATCTGATATCACTTAACAGAACAGACCTGTTATGAAACTCTGGTAATTCATTGTGTAGTTCATTGTTTAAAACTTCATATATTCTTTTTGATTCTTCTAGCTCTTCATTTGCCTGAAAATAAAGAATGCAAAAGTTTAACAAACACTTTTGTGAAAATTGTCCAGTTGAATATCACAATTTTTCCCCAGTTCCACATTTTCTAATATTTTGAATGCAACAAGTACATGAACAAATTGTGGCATTTTTAACATGCAACACTCATATGGAAGAAATGTGATGTACTACATTTCTTTACTATGAATTCATTGTTATTCATGGGATACCAATTTGCATGAATTTTGTGTGTAATGACTAACCACGAATTTAGAGGTTTAACTTATTACAAATTTTCTATAGGCTTGTGAGCTAACTTTTGCAAAAACATGAAATTAATATCAACAAAAATGCAACTTTTTCTCAATCCACAAAATTTGGTACCCATGAAAACAAATGAATCCACAGTTACTACAATTTACTGCTTTTAATCAATATTTCTTTATCAAGATGCTGCACATCAGTACTTAAACTTCCTCCTTTCTTTTTTCTTCAAAGGCTAATTCTTGTTGCTTTAGGTTAAATTAGGGATACCAGTTTTCGTGGATTATGTGGGTAAAGGAGAACCAATAATTTACATGTTCAACAAAATATGAATTTTCTATAGGCTCATAAGCAAATTTTCGTAAAACAACATAATAAAATATCCACAGCATGCAAATTTTACTCAATCCCCGAAAATTGGTACCAACAAAAAATAAATGAATCCACAGTATATGACTTAATAACATTAACGATACCAATTAAATGCACCAGATTCTTTACTCTTACTATATTTAACTATTTGTTTTCTAAAAAATCATTGCTTTTATTCAAAGCATACTAAAAATCTCTTTATTATATATTTTTCAGAGTAGTCATCATGGATCCATAAACAGTTTAACTTTACAATGAGGTAAGATATAGATTTAAACTGACCTTTGTAATTTTGACATCATCTTTTTTCTTCGCACTCTGCAGTACTTCAGCATTATGTCGAGCATTGTCAAAATAATCTAGTTTTCTGTTTCGTTTGGCAATTCTTAGCTGTAAGGGAAATATATAGATGATAAGCAATAAGATCATTGATGTAAAACTATCCATGTTAAATTCAAGGCATGACAACTGCATGGTTTTTGCATTATTTTTTAGAGGAAGGAATATTTGTGTCATTGAGTTGCAATGTCTTTGACAAATCTTCAAAATCTCTATTTGTTCTTTGACACATACCCCACATCTGTATTTATTCTTTGACACATACCCCATATGTCTATTTACACATTGACATAAACAGCATATTTCTTCTTTTTTTATTTTACCACATACACCAAAATCTCTATTTATTCTTTGACACATTCCCTAATCTCTATTCATTCTTTGATACATACCCCATATCTCTATTTATTCTTTGATACATACCCCAAATCTCTATTTATTCTTTGATACATACCCCATATCTCTATTTATTTTTTTATACTTACCCCAAATCTCTATTTATTCTTTGATACATACCCCAAATTTCTATTTATTCTTTGATACATACCCCATATCTCTATTTATTCTTTGATACATACCCCAAATTTCTATTTATTCTTTGATACATACCCCATATCTCTATTTATTCTTTGATACATACCCCATATCTCTATTTATTCTTTGATACATACCCCATATCTCTATTTATTTTTTTATACATACCCCATATCTCTATTTATTCTTTGATACATACCCCATATCTCTATTTATTCTTTGATACATACCCCAAATCTCTATTTATTCTTTGATACATACCCCATATCTCTATTTATTCTTTGATACATACCCCATATCTCTATTTATTCTTTGATACATACCCCATATCTCTATTTATTCTTTGATACATACCCCATATCTCTATTTATTTTTTTATACATACCCCATATCTCTATTTATTCTTTGATACATACCCCATATCTCTATTTATTCTTTGATACATACCCCATATCTCTATTTATTCTTTGATACATACCCCATATCTCTATTTATTCTTTGATACATACCCCAAATCTCTATTTATCCTTTGACACATACCCCATATCTTTTTTTTAGTTTTTGACACATACTTTACATTTCAATTATCATACTGAATGTTCTGCAATTATTGTCTTTTAAATTTTAGATTGAAAATAACTATGACGTAATGTGCATAGCAATGTTACAGTTATTAGAAAAACAAAATTAAAGCAAGATGTATCTTCTATTTTGACATTCTGTGAAAAAGTTCTGAGTCCAAAAAGTAGAACTTGAGCATTGTCTTTAAAATTATTAATGTAAATTCAATTCATTTTCCTGTAAATTATCCATTTTGATTGGTCTGCACAAGAGGGCGACATAAAAAATTATCTCTCCCTGAGCAATGGGGTAGTGTAAATTATCTCCCTTGTATTAGTCAATCAAAATTTGGCATTTTAATGTGAAGTATAATAAATACCCTATATTTGCCTGCTTCACTGTTTATGACTGTATTTGATGTTGAAAGTTTTTTGGACAATTTTCTTAGGCCAACTAAAATTAATTAGATTTTCATCCATATTTTTGAAAAAAATAGGGCGGGAGGGAGGATTTTATTTTTTAATTTCTATTTCCTACGAAACCCTTTTGTGACATGTTCTTCATATGTAAGGGTAATATTTAGCTTATATCATGTATATTTAAAGAAATCTACATAATTTTTCAAATTCTTAAATTAATATTTCTGATTGCAACCACTGTTCTACATGTAATTGCCTCTTTATAAACCTATTTTTAATATATAGCAAAAAGGTGGAGAAATGCTCTCATTTAAACTACCAACATCAAATTTATTTTGCTTTCTAAGCTAGGGTTTGTAGTGCCCATAAAATGAATCATATGCATTGGTATACAACACAAGTATTATGAGTACAGAGTAAAATAAAAACTCAAACTGTGTTGAAAAAACTAGGATTGATGCTTTTAAGATTCTTGTGCAAGCTGTGCAAATATAATTACAATGTAAAACATGAACGTTACCAAAAAGAAGTTGTTTAACGACTCTTTTGAGGGGTTGGGGACAGAGGGTGTTTGCTGTTTGTCCATACAAAATAACAACAGCATTGGGGTAAATCTAAGGGCTTGCTATAATACATTTTGTATGTTGGCCGACTTTATGTACACAATATACGGTCATAAATCGCACAATTTCTCTCTTGTGTCAATTTCTTTATTCCAGTCATGATTTCTGTACCAATGTGTTCCACGATTCTTACACTTTGGATATCATTCACAGTCAAAATTTCCTTACACAAAATCATTGCATTAATAAAAAAAATCCACAGTTTTCTAATCACTGAAATTTGTGACATACCTCAATTTACCGGTAACGGAAATGAACACAATCCAAAAATCGTAATTTTTTTATAATAAAAAAAATTAGGGTGGGAGGATTTCAGAGGGGCCAGCGGGGATGAAAATCTATCAATTAATTTTAATTGGCCTTAAGCCAAAAACTTACCTTTAATGGTTGAAAATGATTTGTGTATGTAGATAATGGATTCTGTACAGATTCTGTTAGATGCTCTATATAGTCTGTCCACATTAATTCTAAAGACTGAAAAACAAGAACAAATATGTATAAATCTTTAAACTGCTTAGGACAAGATAAAAATGTCTGTATAGGGTTACATGTATATTAAGTATCGGATAGGTAGCATAGGTAAAACTTACTGTGCTAGGGGTCAAGGATTCAAACCTTGACAGGTATGGTAGTAAATCTTGGAAAGAATGTCATGCTATATTGTTACAATTAACATTCCAAGTGCAAAACCCAATGGGGAATAATAAAGATATAATGAGTTTAGTATAGGTTTGAGGTTGAATATCATCATTAGGGTATAATAACTTTTGATATTGGAGCAGTGTAGTGACACTTCCCATGACCTAGTTGAAATATAACCACCCTCCATTAGTAGTGCTATTGGAGAACTCATCTAAATTGATAGAATGTTGGCTTAATTTGCCAGGGGTCCTGGGTTCTAGGCAGGTACAAGGGTAATTTTGGAAGAATAATCATGTTCTACTGTTACAGATAATTACCAAACAATAAAATAGTCTGGCTGACTGGGGAATAGAAATATGGTCACTCATGGTCTTCTTCCGACCATTAGTAAAACCCTTGCAAAAGTGTGGGGTCCAATTGGCTGTGCTGGATGTATAAATACGCAGCAACGTGCCACTCTCTCTGCACATTAAGAACCCTAGCAACAACTGTTTGAGGGGTCCGTAGGTGACCTGTTGCAAGACAAAATTGCTGTCCCTATCCAATATACCCTCATTTTCCAGACCTTCCTCCCGGATAGACCCTACTACAGGACCTACCTGTTGTATTTATTGTTTGTTTTGTTTTCGTCCTGGACATGCATGAAATATTTGCCACTGGATCATGAGCAACCAACAATCAATCAATCAATATAAAACACATCTTCAATTAATGTACAAAAGAAATTTTATCATTGTGATTACATTACAAAAATTCCTTGATTTTCCCATTGATATTTCAGAGGTCTTTACCATAGCGTGATTTCATAAGAAAACTATAAAAAACACTAGATTTTATTAATCATTTCCTGGTATTAATTCAATGAATTGTTTAAAACAATTATGGCTGTCCATGCTTGTTAAATTTCAAAATTTTATTCATTTTGTAAAATTTAGGCTCTATGCACAATAAACGCAGCACATACATGACATATATGCTTAATGAAATATACATATATATTACATTTTGAGGAAAACAAACCTCCCAGTACCACCTTGACATTAATAGCACCCTTTCATACACAAATATGAATCTTCTATTGGTTATTATCTTGTGTGTCAACTTCTTGTTATATTCGTTGTGAACTTTTGATGTACAAATTCACCCACATAAAACAGGGATTTACAAATTGGCATATATTATAGACACCTGTCTATTGGTGAAGACCATATGTATACTTCTTTTTTGGTGTTGTTGGTTGCTGACTTATTGATATTTATCCAAAGTCTCCTTTTTGTAAAACATTTTTGACTAAGATTACAACACATATTCATTGCTTAAACCATTCATTCTTTTGTCATGTTTCCTTAAGTTTGGTCTAATCTAATTATTATAAATAAGATTTATTTTTCCCTAGATACCAGTCCTAGATCTTAACCTTACCTGTATTGTTTCCCCGAGTTTAGCTGCCTCTTTCCAGTCTTGTTCATATGTTTCTTTCATCACATTATAAAATGACTTTGATGCTACGTCCATAGCTGAAATAATTAAGTTCAAAATCTATAAAATTTTGTTACCAACAATTGAATTTCAAAGTTCAGGGGCTCTTTTCACAAAAAATCTTATGACAAAAATGATCGTAAGATATACTGAAATGTTTATCATGTTTATGACTTACAATTTTTTTTCTTGAAAGATTTTTTATTAAAATGAGTAGCAGTACTTAGGATGTATTACAAGGAGTATAGTGACCATACAAAATTAGTCATTAGCTTCTGAAGCCATTTTTTTTTTTATTTCATACTTAAATTTTTACAGTGAAGTATGATCATTCAATGGCTATTTAGCGTCAAATGTCCAAAACATACCATGCTTTGCTTTCATTTTTTACTTACAATCACATCTCCTTTGAGTCATAAACTGAATTAGATTTTAAACTTGCTAGCTTACGTGAATAGTCTACATTTCATTTTTCTGACTCCTAGCCAACCAATCTTTACTCTTATTCCTTAAATACTTGGCCCAAAAGCAAAAAATACCATAAGTTTAAGTACTAGGTTTTAACTGGCAAGACAGGGACCGGAAGCAAGCCATTTGAACTTATAATTCAAGTGAAACAATTACTTCATCCATTATTTTTTTGCAAGCGTGTGTAGCAACACATTAATTTGATTAAATATTTCTATTTATACACAGTGTTTACAATTTTTACTTGTAGTGTGAACTCGGTGGTTCAGATTAGAACGATAGAAATTGTTAGGATTAAAGATAATGTGAAGGCCGTGAGTAACTATTTTTATGTAGATCGATTCAAATTTAGATTGATTCAAAAAATGCTAGTGTGAACGGGGTCTTATACATGTATGTAACAAATGAAATGAAAAATTTAAAGTTTTTGTCTATTATATAATACTTTATTTTATTGTGCATTAAAATTTGCAACATTAAAGAAAAAAGGGAAACATTTCTAAATAATTTAATTGCAAAGGCCAAGTTTCAGTTTCTAAAAGGATGAGTTTCAAAATTTATGAAAATTAAACGAGCCAAATTAATTTTAGTCAAGGTGTTTGGTACCACCTTAAGAAAAAAAGATTCACATTACTTTTAATATCAGTTTTTCAGTTGTTGTTTGCTTACTAAAGTATACACGGAAAAACATGAACTTTTGAAGGCAAAAAATTCATTTTCGACATGCAAATTTTATCTTTCTCAATGCTATACATAAATAGAAAGAATACAGAATAATTTCACATTCTTTAAGTGCCTGTCTCAAGTCAGGAGCCTGTAATTTTGTGGTTGTTGTTAGTTGCTGTCTCCCTCATTACTTTTTTGTTGTAAGTTGTTTGCTTAAGCATAAATCAAGGCATAGGTTTTTCTCTTGAATTGATTCACATTTTGTCATGCCAGGGCCTTTTAAAGCTTACAATATGGTATCTGGGTTTTCCTCGTTGTTGAATGCCATATACTGTGGACTCATTGAATGCCATATACTGTGGATTCATTGAATGCCATATACTGTGGACTCATTGAATGCCATATACTGTGGACTCATTGAATGCCATATACTGTGGACTCATTGAATGCCATATACTGTGGATTCATTGAATGCCATATACTGTGGACTCATTGAATGCCATATACTGTGGACTCATTGAATGCCATATACTGTGGACTCATTGAATGCCATATACTGTGGATTAGTTATTATACATGAGATACTAATATTTGTGGAAATTGTGGATACAGGTAAATGTTCAACAATGTGCTAATTTGCATAGGCTTGTATGCAGACTATGGCAAAACCATGAAAAATCAGATGGTACTGCAAAGTGGGCCAACAAATACATGGATACTGCAAAGTGGGTCAACAAATATATGGATACTGCAAAGTAGGTCAGCAAATAAGTGGGTACACAAGTGGACAGGCACAATCAAGTACAGAGGAGGTTACACTGTAAAACTGATTAATAAATGGACATCGAATCCAATTTCCTTTCTTAGCTAGCCTACACCATCAACAATAATTGCTGACATAACCCTACATAACAAAATAAAAAGTAAGCCATTCTGCCGTGGGCATAAGTTATGACAAACATCAGGTATATACAGTATTTATACATACATGATTTAACATAAACAAGACAATACACTTAAGAATTTAATACTGAAGATGCTCAGCCGTAAGACATACCTTTGTGTATCAGTGCATAAATTGTCTTTTTGTAAAAATGTCAAAGATCAATGTATTGTTTATTTTTTTGTTGGTATGTTCTTAATAAAAAATATCTTGTCAGTTAAAAGATCTTGTTTCTGTTGTTTTGCCTTGTTTAAATAATTCATATTATGAAACTGCTGTCAAAAGTGTACAACAGGATGACATAAATAACTGTCAACTGTGTCATGCCCTAACTATAAATTTCTACTTTTATAAATAAGAAAATTATGATAATTTTAAGTGAAAATATTTTGAAAAGATTAGAGAGTTGAAATTGAGTACTAATTTTACATGTATCAAAAAACCACTTAACGATGTTAGTGCATTGTCTGCTGGCTTTAAAATGTCATTTAAATTTGGATGTACATGTATACATGTACTGCAAATGCTTAATCACTTTCTAGCGGCATCATGCATTTCATTTTTATATAAAGTCTATTTTATATATAGTAACTGAAACTCCTTTTTAACGTAAATCTTAAGAAAAAACAAAAAACATTTGTGTTGTATTTTAGTTCTTAAGTTTGACTGAATATGATTGATTGATTGTTGGTGTTTTAACACCACTTTTAAGCTCCACATTTGGGCTATTTCGTGGCGGCCATTTTTTATTGGTGGAGAAAGCTTGATTGACTGAATATGTATTTATCATGTACTCCTATTTTTACTCAGCATGCATACTGTTTTAAAGCATACCCAATAAACATACCTGGACGAAAACAGACTGGATTTTATTACTTTTAAACTAGGAATTAAAGGAGATATGGCAAATATGACTAAAAGACAACTAGAACGCGGCATAAAGTCTTCATTAATAGACATGTGTCCCAGTCTTTTTATATAACAAATTATTGAAAATACTGAATTAGGTTAATTTTACATTAAATTAATAACTTGCTACTGGAAAATGCAAATTGAAGATTACAGTATTATGCACTACATTTATGACATTAGATGATCAAAACAATTAAACATGAGATTCAGAGATACAATTATAAAAAGACCCTTTTTAACCCAATTCCATGTGTTTTAAGTAATATTAAACTTGTAGAGCTTATTACACAATGCATTGCAGTTCAGGTTTAAATTTGCATTTAGGAAATGACTGTGAGAATTGAATTCAAATCTATAACAGTAAAGAAGTTTAAGTTTGTCATTCCTAAAGAAGACAGCAAACAAACGACACAAAACCCCAAACGATGAGTAGTCATACTTCCATTCAGATTAAGAAAACAGAAGTCTTCTGAACTTTTCTGTTATCCCTTGAAATAGGGAGAGTGATTGTCAAATATCAGTAAAATGCACTCACAAGTCTTTTCTTTTGGCACAGAACAGATTTTGTGGTATTTAACCTGTCATCTCAAAGATCAGCAAAAATCAATAAAAGGGTCATTGTCCAAAAACTAAAGCCAAATGCTGCACGCCCTAAAAGATTCTGACAAATGTTTCCTAGTATTACCACATCCACTGAACATTGCACTATCATTATTCTATTGTATAAAAAAAGTTGTCTTTGTAATTGTGTAAATTAGTTTATGAGAATATAATTTCCTTCATTAATCTTCAATTTTTGATTTTCTACACCTCACAAATCCTGGATTCACAACATGCTTACAAAAGCCTTATTTTGAGATGAAAAATAACAAAAGCGAAGTTTCTTTCCTTATCTTTTTTACTTTTGCTATAAACACGATTACAAGTATATATCATTTTATTACTTTTAAAATAGGAATTAAAGAAGTTATGGCAAAAATGACTAAAAGACAACTAGAACGCAGCATTTAGGCTTCATTAATAGACATGTGTCCCAGTCTTTTTATATAACAAATTATTGAAAATACTGAATTAGACTAATTATAAATTAATGTAATTACTTGCTACTGGAAAATGCAAATTGAAGATTACAGTATTATACACAGCATTTATGACATTAGTTGATGATTAGTTCAGAGATACAATTATAAAAAGACACTTTTTAACCCAATTCCATGTGTTATAAGTACATGTAATAGTAAACTTGTAGAGCTTAGCCCACTATGCATTCATTATGACAATTGGTCAGGTGTACATTTGCATTTAGGAAATTACTGTGAGAATTGGAAGTCAAAATTCTAGTGGTCTGGACCTGTGTAAGTCAGAAGGAAAATAAACTGGAAATTTACAAAATCAATATCATGAACTTGCATCAGTCACCTTTTTGTAGAATGAAGATTTTTATAAAACGACTTTCCATCCATTATCCTTTCATAATTTGGTTCAACCTGGACAATTGAATAGAGCAGACTGTGAAAATGCAAGAAGTTGTACAAAAATGAATTGACACTAATGGACCACTGTCCCAGGTTAGGGGGAGGGTTGGCGCATTCAAACCAGTTTAACCCCCCTACATTCTGTATGTGCCTGTAATTCAGTGGTTGTTGTTTGTTGCTGTGTAACACATTTGTTTTTAGTTCATTATTTTGTACATAAATGAGGCTGTTAGTTTTCTCGTTTGAATTGTTTTACATTTGTTATCTATGGGCCTTTTATAGCTGACTATGCGGTATGGGCTTTGCTCATTGTTGAAGGCCATACTGTGACCTATACTTGTTAATTTCGGTGTCATTTGGTCTCTTATGGAGAGTTGTCTCATTGGCAATCATACCACATCTTCTTATTTTTTATTAAAGACATAAACTAAATATGTTAGTTTACATGGATACACTAAATATTTTAGTTTACATGGCCCTTTCTATAAGAGAACAAAATCTTAAAAATCACAATAAAAATACATGAATATATTTATGGTTTGGCCTTGCCAGTGCACATTGTTGTATTATTTGAAAGTTAATCGTATTCAAATTGAGCATAAAATTACCACTTTGTTTAAACCTTTTGCAATTTGTTTCAAATTATCAGGAAATTGGCCCTTATATTGTCCTGTTAACAAGTTTATATCATTAATATATTACATAAAATTAATTGAAAATTTGTTAAAAAAAAATATTAATGAGTGTTACAAGTTTAAAAAACAATAAAAACAAATATTAGGTCAAGGTTATATCTTAATGTTACCACTGGCAATGATCATATGTTCAAAAGGATATAAAATGAAGATGAAAGTTGAAAATTTGAATGCATATTATACAATATGAACACTGTGAAAGAAACTTTGATGATATTGGGCCTTATCTATATTCTGCACATTATATTTGACTAAGTCCTCATCCTCCATCCTCTTATTTTTTTCAAATTACTTCAAGAAAGACTGCTCACTTTTAAATGGACAGAGTGCATATTTTGGGTTGATACAACAATAACACAGACATGACAGATGTAACAGCTTATTACGGGTAAACATCAATGAGACAGCAATCCAACTATACAAGATCACCAAAATAGACATCTAGAGGTCATCCTACAATCTTTAATCATTGACATACCCTCACACAATATGGCAAGCTATAAATTGTCATTGAATCAAGACACAAATTGTGATTACCAGGTATACCAAACAGAGTAAAACAAATATCTGACACAAACACCAAACTCTTCCATGACAAGAAACCATGACATTAAATTACTTTCACAACAGCCAAAGAAGGCCTAAAGAGACAACAGCAACAACAGACAAGACACCCAAATATTGAAACACACACATATATACATAAATAAATGACTAATGTAATGTTTTCTTCCATTGTTTATTTATTGCCTAATGCATCTAACTGCAAAAGGGAAAATCGTGCCATAGTTTATCTAATCAATAGATGCAACTTTGTTGTTTCTTTCAATCATGATCTCTAGTTAAAGAGCTATAAATGACATGCCAATCACAATTGCATGGTGTCCAAAAAACTGGACAGTATACAATATGTTCTCAAATGCACAAATGTAGTGTGATCACCATCTGGCAAAGAATTATTCTGTTTAAATCTGTGCTAGGGGCTGTATTGAACTTGCAGTGAGATTAGAATTTTGGCTCCATGTTGAAAGCCTTACTGTGACTTTGAGATAAAGAACAGCATCAACAGCACTGCCTCCATGGTTTAGTGTTTGTTCATGTGGTTGTTGTGATTTAGTGTCATGTATTGATATACCATTTCTTTCTTTACCATTAAAAAAAAACAGTTTTATCAAGATTTGTTTGGGGTTTATTTAGGTAGTGAAAATTATGATGGAGCTAGAAACCCCTGGACAACTATGGAATTAAATGTAAAGAACACCCATCCTTGCTTAATTACCATTAAAAATTAATGCACAAGCAGTTTTTAGATATCAGTGACATATAATTTACATATTTTGTAAGGGAGTCCCAATAGATATTTCACATTCTTAATATGACAAACTGACACTGCTGGTATATAAAATCTTCACATCCTCTTAAATTTCAACAATCAAACTCACTCATCTAGAACACAATAATATTTACATAGGTAATGGAATTTCTGTCTGCTCTTTGGTTCAGTTAAGATTTCAAAACGTTAGGCCAATAAAAAAAAAAAAAAAAAACATAATTAGAAAATTTACAACTTGAAGTATACATGATATAGGTAGTGCAAAATAAAAGGTCAATTACTTTATAATGGTCAAAAAGAGAATATAAGTTAGTTTATTGCACTGCAATCTATTTTCAAAAAAGAGATGTCTACACTTATGTCTTAACTTGTTGAAAATAGAGTATATATTTTTCTTTAGAGAGTTGGGTGGGGTCTTCAATACCTTCCTCTGATTCATTTCAAGTTAACAGACTATTTAAGCATGAATAACTATGTTAGAACTAGTATTCAAATTAGATTCAGTACACAAAATAATCGATTTTGCTAACCATGTGAACAGTTATAAATCTCTTACTTTGCATTCATGAAACAGAAAATAATAAAAAAAATTGTGTCAATCTATTCTTGAATTCAGTCTCATAAATTTAGAAGTCTTAATTCAAATATTTCTACGTTACTCTGTACATAAAGACAATGGTGTAGATAAAGTGTATACACAAGAATAATATTAAATTTCTTAAATTCAGCTCTCAGACAAACATTGGGGAACAAATGTGTTTAAAATATACTAAGTATTATAATAATACCATAGCATTAATTTTATGACTCTTGGCCTTTAATTTGACAGAAGAGAAATTTTATAGTAGTCTTTTGACTGAAAGAATAAATATCCATTCATACAAATATAGGTTAACTTCTACCGATGGAACAGTTTTTTACACACTTTACAATTTGTATCTAGATTTTATGTGTGTACTTTTTTTTTCATTTCAGCTAGATGTTTAAAATATCAACAAATCACATAATCCAATCTCCAATGATTGATTGATTGATTGTTGATTGCTTAACATCCACTTTCCATGTACAATGTGCTTAGAACACTTTTCATTATTTTCACTATCGGTCTTCATATCCCCAACCTTTTTGAAAAATAGTTCCAGATCACAGAAGACCTTGCATTATTTAGTTAATGTATAGAAGGTCCATCACTCTTCCTTTGTTTTTCAGTAGTTAATCATTAGCATTCATGCTACTTCCTTTTATTTCTATATTGAATATATGTTTTATAACATGTAATGTCAGATACAGATAATAGCCTGGTGATTCGAAAAGTTAAAAACCTTCATGTATCCTTTTAGATTACTTCAACAATTTGTTTTACCTTATCCTGATTCATGACCTTAACCTTGCAAAATTCTATCATAATTAGAGAAAAAATAGAGCATCGCATATTTATGTGTCATGGTTTGACAAATCAGACCTTTTAAAAATAACAAACCAGCTTCATTTTGGTCATTTTCAGTATCAATGATAGTCAGATTCATGCTGAAATATTTCTATAATATAATATAGTATATAGTTCTGTGACAACTACAATCTACCCATTAGAACACATTGTAGAGTGTATTACTAAGTTTTGACCTTTACCTTACAACTGATCACTTATCATTTTTATAACATGCTATTTGACAGGTAGATAAAATCATTTCAAGTATAAATATCAGTAGTAATCAAGGTTTATGTTCGAAATTTCATGACTTTAAATTCAACTACATTTTATATTTTACGTGAGTGTGTGACCTGTCACCTTGACCTTATGGGGTCATTCTGATGAAATTCAAAACACTTGCTGATGAAAAGGAACAAAATATGTAAAGTAACATTGATATCCTTTGATACAATCAAAATCATCACCATGAGCTGGAAATTACTTGGATATTAACACCATAAAGACATAGACAATGTTGAATCTAGTTTAAAGACCTCAATATAAATAACTTAAATATATGAAAAATTTGATCAGGACACACCCTAAAGCTGTGGAAACAAGCATACAATATATTGTTGATTCATTTATATTTTGTCTGTACCAATTTACGGGGATACTTGATTTCATGGTTTTGCCAAAGTTTCAATTCAAATTCTTCGTTGAACATTTAAATTTGTGGAAAATTAGATGTTTCTGTACTGGTGGGAAAAAAACAGAGAACTTTATCCTTTTGATGCAAACACCTGTTTTACCTGCTTGAAGATTAACAAGATACAGTTAATTATCCAAACCTTACCAGGAATCGTTAGTTACTAATGAGATGGATTGTAATGACCCACACTCTTTGGATCAATACATCTTAGATACAATGAAAACTAATACTGATACAGATGACTACTACATATACTAACTTTTCCAACTGAAAAACCTTGAAGTAAAAAAATATGACATAAAAGAGATTTCCCCAAATTGTGCAATATAATTTTGTGACATAAAATGTTGTCTGAAGTTAGTTTCTTTTTATTTGGGTTTGTTTAGGTTTTGTTTTGTTATTTTTGAAAATGGGGAGGGATGAAATCAAGAACCTTTACAAACTTTTTTATTTTTTTTTTTTTGGAAGTGTCAGCATGAAATCAAAATGTTTTCAGATTTTTTTGATGTCCTTTTTCCAATCCAATGAACGTAACACTTGTATCAACTCTCAAACCATGACATGAAAAGACCCTTAGTAATCGATACTCTTATTTTGGGTAAATCCACTGTTTATAAAACTTTTGTGTCCCTTATACTTATGTCCTATTCTGAGCTCACACAAACAATGTCATTTCTAAATCTCCATCCCATGGGGGATTTTTATCACAAGGCAACAGAACATTGTCCATCTCCTATGTATGTCATAAAGTGCTTTTAATCTAAATTTCTAGGTTTTGAATGAGTATATATATATATGCTTAAATGATAATAAACTGCTTTAATTGTGAGGTACTTAGATGTAATTGAAGATTTCAAGAGTCAGGGCAACAACTCTCATGGGAGGAAAAATGCCCCATAAATCAGGAAAGTCAGCAGGGCTGAAGTCTACAATATTATCACTGAGCATTAGTTATGATTCAAACAGATTGATACTATCTATACACAAGAGCTTTGTACTGAAATGGTCAAAGTTTTGACTTGAAGATTAATGTTACCTTTGGCACAATTAATATAGTTCCTGAGTTCTTTCTGGAATCTGTGGGCAACTTCCTGTTCAATAGATTAAAAAAAACATAATGAATAAAACAAAAAATGTTCCATCTTAACTTTTATATCTGTCTTAGTATGGCCTGTATCTATCACATGTGCTCATTCCAACCTGAATTTATTTGGGTCCCTGGCAAAGAGTAATTAAAAATGTTGGTAGGTAATTTTAACATCCAATTTTTTACAATATATATTTTTGGAAGCAAACATAAGGCATGAATCTTATTTGTGAAGACCTTTTAATGATGAACAATGTGACAAAAAAGCAATAAATTAATAAAAATACTACTGAATGAAAGGTCAATAGTAATTAATAATTTGGGAATCTCACTTTTTGAAGTAAATCAAATGTCAAATTTCATTCAAGTCTTGTTGAGGCTTTTAAAATCAAATAGCGATAGCAAAATCTGCAATTTTTTTTCCTTTTACTTTGTTACTGATCTATCAATGACACCCATTTGTAAATATTAGCCATACACATTTATTCATAATTAATTTAACTGGACACGCCGTCACACCATTTATGCACAGACCGAAAAGGTATTTCTCAGTATTGGTGCTCAAAACATGTATTGGAAATAAAAGTATCATATATATGTGAAGACCAATAAAGTGGCCACCAGCTATGGAAAACCTGTGCTTCTGGAGGTTAACTTTAACAAACAAAACAAAAAACAGAAATAACTATGTTTACAATTTGGCAACTCTGTTTTATGAAATCAACTATCATCATATTACTGATGAACATGTAAAACAAATATGTCATGTTTTTATTTTGTATCTATTTTGAACACTGCAAAGTATTATAAGAGGATTAATATGAACTTGACAATACTGTCTACTAGAGACCATAGTGTAAATTAAAATCTTACTATATTTTGTTTTTCATCTGTGCTGGTTTTTACTGGGATGGATCTGTGTTATGTGAATTATAATATACAATGACACACTTGTTTTACTTTGTTGTTTAATTGTGATTTCAAATTATGTGTCCTATTTTTTGGCTAAAGATGATAAGATAACATTTAGGGGGGGTGGATTGATTCATTGGTGTTTAACGCCCAGAGAGAACCTCTGATCTTCAGAAGGAAAACTAACAATCCTAGTCAATAAAGATTTGAGTTGAGTGCACCTGCAGCATGCGGATTCAAACTCACTACCTCAGTGTTGACAGGCTAGTATTATAGTAGTTGGACTACTTAGACCACTCTGCCACTGAGTGGATGTCTTCACTCTGGGATTAGAAATAGATATGAACTAACCTGTTGTCTTTCAAGTTTATGTACATGATTTTCAAATCCATCATCTGCAGTCTTTTCTGCTTTACCTAAATTCTGTAAAACCTGAAACAATAGAAAAAAATTTATCTCATGTAATTTTTTTTACCTCAAGTAGGAGATTTACAAATGTATATGTATTATAGTTTTATAGATGAGACCTTTCATATACGATAAGAACTACATGTAAAATAAAGGTGTGTGAAAGAGGCAGGATAACTCATTAAATAGTACCAGGGGAGGGGGCCAGGGGGGTCTCTTTCTTATATGGGTCCCTTTTTTGATATGACAAATATATCAATTGGTCGCAATTTTACCAAGGAATTATGTCAATGGTTCAGTAATTTATCTTTTGATTAAATATCTGTATATAACTGTCAGTCTTATCCTTTCAAACTTAATTATTAATAAGATGTCAAGAATTGTATATTTTGCCATGAAATATATTTATGGGTTGTGATTTTCACAAGACTTCACTATATGAATGGGGTGTTTTTGAAATCCTAGCTGCATGTATGTACCCAAAATCCCATGTTGAGACCCTAATGATATTTATTGTCAGCACAGGAATAGTGACTGCAGGACTGGTGATAGTCTAAAAACAGGAAACATACAAAAGCAATGGCATTTACCCAGTAGTTATAATGTCAGATACAAGGCTTCTAATTTAAAACTCTAGCTTATAGTTACACCTTCCATAAAAGATACCTGGCTTATAAATTAGTACATAAAACAGGCATTGATAGCAAAAACTAGAGCTTTCTTTCCAAAGGGTTAGAATTGACCTCCTGGGGGACTGGTCATGAGGGGGAGTTATCCAAATTAACTTTTAAATTGCAGGAAGGCTCCAACTTCTGTCTAAAGAGGTGACACCGTGACACCTATATATTTCTGAAAAGAGACATCAGCAAACACAGAGTAAAAAAGGTATCGGGTTTTACTGTATATTTTTGGGTTTATTTTTTTTAAATTTTATAGATTTTAGGTTTTACTATAGATTTTAGGTTTTACTGTATATTTTTAGGTTTTACAATAGATTTCGGTTTTAATGTGAGTAATCATTATACATCATGTACATCATTACTTGGTATTAGGTAATATCAATCTATACAATTAGAAATTCAAATCGGTCATCTATCACTCCTAATGTTTGAACAACATTGATTTGGTACATTTTTATTACATATTTGTGGCTAAGCTTACAGGTGTAACAAGTTAAAGGTCATCTAATTGACAGGTAAAAATACAGCAATACAAACATTAAAGACACTATGTTGATGTTGTAGGGGATGATAATGGTCATGTCCCTGTCAGAGTAATCCTTATTAAAGGTGTATAAAGGTAATAAGATCACCTTTGATCTTATCTGATACTTGTCACCTTTGACTTAATGAAATATTTATTAACTGTGCTAACTTTCATTTTAAGGTGCAATCTATTTACATATGCTAATGTAAAATTGCACTATGCTAATAAATAATCAGACTTATTTAAATGAGTGACCTGTTATTTTCTTCCTGTTCTATGTTCAATGTTGGATAGTTGTTTCATTGCCAATCATACCACATTTTCTTATTTAAATATTTGTTTATTCACATTTACAGTCCTAAATGTGCTTCTTATCCTGGCCTTTTTTTTTACTTTAGGGGTCTCTGTACTTTAGGTTGAGGGTTCATTTATGGTTAGGGTTTGGTAAAAGTTAAGTCTATGTTAGGGGGCTTATGTTAGGGTAAGGTTAAGGTTTAGGGTTAGGATAAGTTTATAATAACTCTTTATGGGTTGGGACCCCTGAGGTTAAAGAAGGTCCTAATTCTAGGATTTGGAAATACATGTTAGGATAAGCAAGATTCATCAATCCAGGAGTATCAACATGGATCTAGAAACATTTTGCATTCTTTACATTGTAAGTTCTATTTTAGTTATGAGATTCAGGTTCTACTCAAAAAAAAACATGACAAACAGAAAATGACAATGTAACAATATACAATTATGGCCCGTTGAAAAGGTGAATATCCAAAATTGTCAACAAGAGAAGGTTATTTCACTGAGGGCGCAGCCCGAAGTGAAATAACCTTTAAGGGTTAACAATTTTGGATATTCATCGCTTCTAAGGGGCCACAATTGTTTTATTATACCGAACTAACAGTGGAAGGCCATTTTGAATAATTGTAATAGCACTTACCCTTACTTGAGTCAGTAACAAACACAAGTTGATGTTCAAAAATACATGTAATTTGTGTCTTAGAATTCTCGTATGTACAACAAAGGTAGATTCTTTTTGTAAAATATTGATGGCCCTGAAAAGGACCGTTATTAGAGATATCATTGGCACAAGATGCACGTCAAAAGCCTATTTCCTCTTCTCTCGATCAATGGGCTTCCTGTAACTTGAACGTTGCCATTTTGTTTATTTACGTCTGTGGTGTCATTTTCATGGGTACAAATCAACAAACTAAAAAGGTTATTCGCCAGTGAATAATAGGGTTATTCAACGCTTGGGTTAATTTTTTGGGGTTATTCGTGCCAAGTTCCTTGCAATTGAATGAAAATTAACTGAATTATTCCATGTCACGTGATAACGTTTTACCCAATAGAATTGTTTGAAATATATGTAAGGTATAATAATACATTTTGTACACAAATATTTCATAAACCTGCACAATGAAGCAACAATTCTTTGGTTGGACCTTATGGTTTGTACATTTTTCTGTTAGAATTGAAAAATTCATGGCAGTACATATAGTATATCTTCAGTTTTAGATTTTGCTACATTAAGTATTATATAAATACTTTTGGAAATTATTACTTTCCCATGGTGAAATCTCAAACAAAACAAAGGAGACATGTATATCATAAATTATTTCTGTAAAATACAGGCTTCAAAGTATTTGACAAAGTGATTTTTTTCATCTGTATAAACAATTGTTTCTTCATTTGGCATGGCAAGTTCCAACCCATCATTTATTACTGGGTAATGGTTTAACTGGTAAGAGGATTGAATATGGAAAAGTGAATAGATTAACCCATAACAAAAATCAAGCAATTACAACTTCATGGTCTTTATGCCAAACAAAAAGAAAGCCATGCCAAATATGTTTTTTAACTTTTGTAGCAGCGTATCTTAAATCAATTATTGTCGAACAAGTTTTTCCTTTTCAAAGTGGCAAAAGATTTCAACATGAAGATGAATCTTACAATATTTTCTTCTGAAACAAAAAGTCAAATCCACTTGACCCTCTTTTTATCAAACCATCAAACCAATCAATAAACAATGAATTGTGGGGAGACTGGAGTAGCATTTCCAAGGAAGTAATTTCTTGGTCCAAATAATTGACTTTAAAACTGATTCACTGAGTTGAGATTGCTCCTGCTTATGAACTTTAATAAGAGATCTATTAAGGCCCTACAGAAATTGTACAGCTGCCTTTCAAGTAATATCAAAGAAAATTATCACAAAATCTAAAAATAAAGATGTATATTCATATAAAGAGTAACTAAATTTCCTCCAGCCAATCGCATTAAACTGATGCCCTCAACATTAACATATTAACTCAAGGTCACAAACTACCAAATAGAGGTATAAATATATGATAATAAATTTATTGGTTGTTTATAAATACTATTTCCAGTTTAGATAGTCATCCATGGATCCATGTTCACCCTTGGTTAAAGGCCAAACCAGAAAATTAAAATGGTTATGTAAATAAGCTACATTTGCATATATTGCATAGATTGGTAGGCTTAGAGTTAGAATCTAAGATGTTGGTTTGGTTAATGTTTAAAAAATTACATGTTTACCCTAAATCTCTTCTTCCTATCAAGTTAGTCTAAGTACCAGTTTGATTTACTTAATACACCAAGACACAACTTTTAACCCCTAAATCAATAGAGTTGTGATCTCACCTACAGAAGTCAAGTTTCATTAATATGTATACAAGATTGCAAGGAAATGATTTTTGGAGCAAGGTCATGAGATAAGTGGTGTTTGAAGTTCGACCAAAAAACCAATCAGGACTCTTCATACAACTATTACAAATTAGCCAATGTATACAAATTGTAAAATTGTGTACTTCAATATATATTACATGTTTAATAGTGATATATAGTTTCATGATCCTTGGACTAGTAATGACCTATCAGTCCGGTGTTAAAGTTTAGGAATGGACAAATGAAAGGACAAATCAATTACTACATAAAGAGAATATAAGTACCAGCTCAATCATTAGACCATTTACATTTACCCCTTTCTGCAATATACAAAATATGGAATTTTTCAATAGAATGGAATGAAAAGCATCAGTTACGGTACTTTAAGGTGAACCTTTTCACATATATAAGCCTTTAAAGGCCATATGCTTCCAGGGTAGTCCATTTTATCAAATGAATCAGAAGTTAATGGCTTTTCTTTATTATCCCCTTTTCAAATTGTTCAGACAATTATATGGTTAAATTTCAAATTTTCAAAGTGTGAAATTCACTTGGGTATCAACTATCACAAACCATGTTATTTTTATAGTCTATTCCTGCTATATCTACCATGTCTACAGGTATATATATATTTGCAAGGTCAATTCATATTGTATATCTATTTTCAGCTTGATAAAAGCATTCTTGGTATAAGCTCAAATTAAATTCAGCTTCTTGAAAGAAAGAAACAAGAGAAAACTTATGATTAAACATTTTTTTCTATTTATTTGTTAACCAATACTCCTGTTGTACTTTTAGGGAAAAGTTGCAACTGAAGCTCCACAGAAGGCAACACAGTGTCAAATAATTATTTCGTAACGAATCATAAGAACAGAAAATAGTTACATGATGGTTAAGACATTGTCGTTAGTGTAGAATTCCCTGTTTATAAATTAAGAAATCATTAAGAACTAAGGTTCCTATTTTTTCAGGCAAAGTTGCCTCAGATGAATTTGGCTATTCTGTTTCGATATTTATTTGGTCATATATAGCTCCTAACGTTTAACCATTTATTTATCCCTGCTTTTCAAACGTTTGAGTGTTTTTGATGATGATAAATTCAGAAAAGCACTTCTGACGCACAAAATTTATAGAGGGTT